GGAAAGAAAACACTGAATTTCAGAAAACTTTGATTTAGAATACAGTGATACCTTGGTTATGAAACTCAATTCATTTCAAATTCATGCTCAAACACTGAAAAGCTTGAGAACTGAACATATTTTTCTCATAAGAATAATAGAAAACCAAGTAATTGGTTCTGAGGCCCAAAAATTACACTTATAAATTCATTTTTCCAGGACTTTGATAAATTTTACAATGATTTCTTCTTAACGCTATCATGATTCTCACAGTTTTCCTCTTATCTTTACTGCTGGTTTCACTAACTTTCTTTGGAGCCATGGTTATGATATTTTATGCAAATAAAGTGCAAAAACCACAATAATGAGTGTTTTAACGCACTAACACAGCACTTTATGTTGTCTGGGTGATAGCTGTGCCTATGACCCGTGACTAACTCTCAGCCAGTACAGGTTTTTTCAAGTCAGATTTTCAGACAGACTATCAAGCAAAGTTACAAAACACTGAGCAAATGTTTTTTCAAACTTTGCTGTTCGAGTAGTGGCAAGTTCGAGTTTGGAGCCATTTGACAACTGAGGTATCACTGTATTTAACGTATATTATTTCATAGTTAATAACCTGAATTCAAAGACAACGAATGTTTTAGACATCTAGACAAGGAAAAAAATCACCTACAAAGGATAAATCAGGCAGGCATCAGATTTCACAGTATTCATCATAGAAGACAATGGTGTGGTGTTTACAAAGTTTTAAGAACAGAAAGGATGACCCCAGATGTAATTCAAGTACAAAGGCTAGTAAAGTACTTATGAACACTTGCTGGGGAAAAAAAAACTGTTTAATAACCAAAGCTAGCCTGTTAAGAAATCAATCAAAATAAGAACTCGAACCTAGAGAAGCTACAACAAAAGGACTATTGGTAGCCTCTGGATACATTTACATGTAGAAATAAATAGTTACAGCAATTATAGTACCAAAATAGAATGTGAATACTATAAATCTAGACAATGTAAAAATATTAATCCAAACTTGGGAGGTGAGGGAGAGGAGATGGGACTCGCAAGAGAACTCTATTCTCACCTTTTGAAGCCAAGATGTACCATCCATAACAAAAGCACATGTTAAAAAAGTCTAAATGTTTTTTCATAATTACCTTTACATAACCGTGCAACAGAGGTCCACAAATTACCACCTGAGGGCTGACCTCCTGTTTTTGTAAATACAGTTTCACTGCAACACAATGCCTTAGTGAATTCAGCCTACTGTAACAAAATGCCATGAGCTGGGTGGCTTGCAACAAGAGAAATTTATTTCCTATAGTTCTGCAGACCGGAAGTCCAAAATCAAAGCCCTATGATTCAGTGCCCAGTGAGGGTCCGCTTTCTGGTTCATAGATGGCTTCTTTTCATTGTGTCCTTATGTGGTGAAGAGGACAAGGCAGCTCACTGGGCCTGGTTTATAAAGACACTAAGCCCTTGTGACCTAATCACCTCCCAAATGCCCCGCCTCCTAATATCATCTCATTGGAGAGCAGGTTTCAACATATGAATTTGGGAAACAGACATTCGGACTCTAGCACATGGCTCCATGCATTTGTGTAACTATTTGCCATGTCACTTTCCAGTTACATAGAGCCCACATGCCTGAAATATTTACTACTGGTCCTTTAAGGAAAATTTACCAGCCTGGGGAGAGAAATATTTTTAGTGCAGAGGAACCTTGTAGTAAAGAAATATTTATTCAAGGTTTAATAATTTGTTGAATTTAATTCAGGCCTTTTTGCTCCTATTAAGTTCATGTCAAATTAAATTTAATAATGTAATGTAAATCCTATTTTTATACACTGATGTACAGTCATTCAAAAGATATCAAGGATGATGGATCTCCAAATGCTATTTGCATGGTTTCTTAAACTGTCAGCTTTGTGTGTTTCTGCATTGTTTGGAATCTTTATAATGAAGTGTATATCAGCTGTACCAGAATAATATAATAGAACGTTTTTTTTTATATATTGGAACCAAATATACCAAAATATTGATGATGGTTAATTCTGGCAGATGAGACTATGATTGCTGTTTTATTCTTTAAGCTTTTCTATGTTTTTAAATTTTCAAAAAAAATTAAGCTATATAAGATTTAGGCATAAAGTGATAAAGTTCTGAATTACAGTTCTGCAAATAGTAATGAAGAAGTAGATATAAAGATCATGGTTCTATTTATAATTATTTTCTAATCTGATAGTTTGTATTATATTATTGTGTGGTATTTCCTATCATATACAAACTACATGGTTCTCACATAAAATACAATATAAAGCATAGCATAAAAGAGAAGCCAGAAGCAGATGATATTTGAAATAGTTAGCCGGTGAGTCAGCACATTTGTAAAGCTGGCTTCTTAAACTTGCTTTTCTCTCAACCCACCTTTCCAGTCTCTTCACCTCTCCTTCCTTTTGATATATACACATTTGTCCAGCCACATAGAACTCCTCACTCTTCACCTGTCAGAATTCTGTTTTACTCTGTTGCCATCATTCTTTCTACCTATAATTTCGTCCTCTTCTCCACCTACTGTAACTCAATGCTTCCTTTAAGATACAATTTAAATATCATTTGCTGCAGTGCATCTCAAACTCAGCTGCATATCAGAATCACATAGGGGCCTTTAAAAAATACTGAGGTCCAGGCCTCAGCTGAGCTATTCTGATTTAATTGTCCAGGGTTGGGGCCCAGGCAGCAGTATTTTTAAAGACTCCCTTAGTGAGCCTAATATACATTCAGGGTTGAGAGTCGCTGCAAAGTCTTCTCCAATACCAGCAGGCAGAGTTAATTACTCCCTCTTCTGCACAACCATAGCCCTTAGCTCTTCCACTGCTCATCAAATTTAATGCTCATTGTATTAAAGTTAGTGTTACATAGGAAGTGCTCAGTAAATACTGAAGGTTATGGCAATTCCTTCTCCCTCCAACCAAGTGTGTGCAGGGATGGTTACCTTTCCATGGGAGAGGAACAGCAGAGTGGGTGGTGCTTCGTAGCTAGTGACACTGTCTGAGGGATTTTATTTCTGTAAACCATAACCCTCCCCTGTATGTCCCTACACACCCCTCACTGCCTTTTCAGCATATTTCTTCAGTCTGGCTTTTGCACTGTTTTGATTGAAGCAATTAAAGAATTAAAACATCATTGTGAATGTGCAGACTGAATGACAGAATCTGAATGTCACCTGCTTTCCATCCTCTCCTTTGTGTCATTCTTTACATTATGCTTTAGGTTGGATCCTGCTGCTTTAGCTTTCAAGAGCCAGTTGCCAGGTGTTCTTTATCAAAGGCTTTCAGAAAATCCAGATAAATTATGCTCCATGCCCCCAAACTGCCAAGGCTATATTTTATATCTTCATAGTGTGTGACAATTTTATTTAAGTGGAATCCTTCTGTCTCCTTTCAATTTGCCTTTGCCTCACTGACCCTGATATCAATCAGACAGTGGAGACCCTACCCTTCTTGATACTGCATATCTGGAGTACAGCACTTAGGGTGATTACCTCAGCCTACCCAATGAGGAGGAGCTCCTGGAAGTACTTGTATCTAGAAGAGAGGTGGGGAGAGGAGAGCTGAGGATGACAAAAGCCACCAGGGCATATCAGCAAGACTGGAGTCCCATAATGATTACATTGCATGAGTTCACACTCTCATCAAGGCAAGGCTGGTACGGCCTCCCCTTCCCTTTCCCCTTCCAACTCACCTGGAAGGAAACAGACTGTACTTCCTGTCTACTCTTTCCTATTAAAATACTATTTCTAGTATTTTAGAATACTAGTGCAGAACACTTACCAGGCATACATAAGACCCTGAGTTCAATCCCCAGTATATATATTGCTTTATATAGAAGACAGTAGCACTGCTTTATTGTTTCCCCTCAGTACCACATCCTGCCAGTGGGAGCCCTAACATTTTATTCACACAGGTATTTCTCAGCCAACAAATACTTAATTAGTAAGGTGATTTTCTTCCCCTCAGACTTAAGGAAATTTCTCTTTTCCTTTTAAGGTCCCCGGGCCTTACTAAGCAATAAGGTGTGGTATAACTGAGTTCAGTGGCACATTTTACCAATGTAAAATCAAGTTAATTTTAAAATAAAAAATTTGGGTACATCTAGTATACTGTATAACCCAAAACAAATCTATTGACCTTTCTGTTTTGAGTTCTTTATTAAACAGCAAACCATTAGCTAGTTCCCTTGGAAGTTATGCAAATTAATTAATGTTTGGAAAATGATTTGAAAATTTAAATCAGTCTATAAATACCAGACTGTTGCCTTTCCCTGCTGAGAGGCCCAGATAATTCATAACCTCCTCTAATAAAGGTAAAAATAGTGTACTTGGGCTAGACAATTACATGTGATTTATTTGAACTGCACATAATCTTTAAAATTTAGAAACCACTTAATAGAAACAATTCATATTTCATAACTGTAATAAAAGCCTTTTATGACTTTAGGAAAAGTAATTATCTACTGTAACTGATCTAGACACCATGTCTTTATTTCTGAGATCTGCATAAGAGCCTACTCAGTGTTTGTATTTAACCTGTTAATATTGACTGATATGTTTAGATTCTCCCATTTTATTTTTTTAACCTCAAAACTCTAATATTTATTTCCTGGGAAATTTTCCTGTACAAAACTTTGCTGTATTCAAAACCTCCTATGTCAAGATTTAGCACTTTTATATTGAAGTCATTAAAATTGAACAAAATCTTAATAGTTCCCTTATTAACTACTATACTGACTTTGCATAGTGGAAATCACCACATGTTAATTGATTTAATTAACTATTTTAAATTACATAAAATCCTGACAGAAGACAATAGCACAGGGTACTCATGAGCAATAAAACTGGAGCCGATATTGCTACTTTATTAGAACTTAATGAAACTATTCATAATCTTATTTATTGTTTACAAGAACAAAACTGTCTTCAAAGGCAAAAATTTCTGTTGAAAACAATTTTCATTATCATTTAGGTGAATGTTCAGAAATTAATCAAAGGGTCCACCATCTCCAACCTCACAGTCCCACCATCTTCTCATGGCACGGATCCCTGGTTTGTCCCCGTGCCAGTCTTACAGAAGGATGCCGATAAAGGTCAGTGACCCTGTGGCTGCGTTATATGTTTAGGGATAAAAGGGAAAAAGCAATCGGGGCCCTGAGTTTGAACTCCGCTCAGACACTGATTCCCAAGGCGGCCTCACACAAGTCAGATCCTCACTCTGAGCTCCCTCCTCCATAAATCAGGAGCTTGGTCACTAACCTCCCTCCCACCTCTAAAATCCATCGTTTTATGGATTTCATATTGGTTTAGATGTTAGTGTTATTATGTAGAAAACTGCTATGGTGTTTATGTGGTATTATTTGAAATTATCAAGCTTCTGATGGTATTCTGGGTAGCATTTTAGAAATCTTTCCCAGTATACTACTTACATAGAAATAGGAAGCCAGAATTAATGTGATAGCACTTAAATTCTGTTCATATATATTCTGGTCTTGTGATGCCAGTAGATTTCTAGTTTTTAAACAAAAAGACTGTATCATCTTTACCTCATATCCCTAGTGCCTAGAACATACCCAGTATTTTGTAGACACTGAATGTTTGTTGAATCAATAAGCAAATTAAAAAGTCAGTAAATGACTAGGGACTGAACATCATAGTGTAACCCTCTTTACCTTTCCCTACTATTTAAGTGGCCAAATTTTAAATAATGTCCAGGTGGATCTTCTTTCCTAGCTTAAATATACCTGAGTGAGATGCTCTTCAACATTCCTGTCTCCCTTTTTACCCATTGTCTGAAGTATTTAGAGGACCTCGAGTTGCTTCCCAGGACCCTCTGGTTGCTAGAGATTCAAAGTCCTCTTTCTTCTAGCTGTTGCCATCTGCTGTCAGCTGACCTCCATCAGCTGGTGGTGGAAATCCCAAGAGTCTCTGAATTGTTAATCTTCCCACAATTCTATTTCTTTCCTACTTATGATCCATTACTCAAAAGTCTTTGCGATGCATACTTGCTAGTTGGTTATGTAGTATTTCTCCCTGAGAATGCTGAGTAACACCAGCAGAGTTTCTATTTCTTCCTTCAGTATCATCTCATATTCTTCCTGGATCAAATTTGGACCAATGAAATAGTGAGTGACTCAATTAATCCTTGCTTTAGCAAATAAAACTTGCTATGAAACAAAAGTTAATCTAGAGTAATGGAAACTTGGTCGAGAAAAAGTAGCATTTTTATCCCTAAAATATTTATCAGCGACCACATGGCCCACCATAATATTTGTAATTAATCAAGCCGTTAATTAACGTATATTTACGGAGTAATTGCCATATGTCTGGTACTATGCAAGGTAACATGAGCTTCAGGAAAGCACAAGCTACAGAAATGTAGATACAGTGTCTAGGTTTTTCAGGTGTTCTGGATGCCCTTACATGTGATTTAAGCCTTACCTCAGTTCCCACAAGTCCAGCATGAAAAGAAAGATTACATCCACAAGAGAAAATCCTTTTGGAAAATGTACACTAAACTTCACTACTTTTTCTTGAATTATCTGGCTAAATCCAAAAAAGAGAGTTCCTTCTTCAACCCATGGTTAGAAACACAAGTTTCCCAGTATAGACCTAGTTTTCAATTCAGGCCGTGTGTGGCCTCAGGCAAGAGGTCACAGTCGGATCTTAGAGTAAAGTCTGAACTCTGAGCAAGACACGCCTGACTCAGTCCTCAGCTTCCTCTCCCCTCTCTGCACTCCAGCTGCTGGGCCTTCTCTCTGCCCCTCATCAGGCCAGTTGCATCTTCAGGTCAGGGCTTCATAGACTGTCACATTGTATAATGAGTTATTTACTTGTGAACTTATTTAATGTCTTCTCCATCACTAGAAGTCATGCAGTCTCCCTGCTTTACCACTTTGTCTCCAGCCCCTAGAGTAGTTCCTCACACATAATAGGCACTTAGGAAATATTGACTGAATGAGTAAACTTCCAATTCCTCATCTATTTAACAGGAAAGTAAGGGTGATGTGAAGACTTCATAAAACAGTAATATTAAAGATAATTTTTAAAAAACATGTAAAATCATAACTTTCATATAAATATAAAAGGAATATATATCAAAGATTTTAATTCATCAATTCAAGGAGAAAATCTTTAAGATGTTGCAATTGTTTCAGAAGAGAATCCAAAGAACAGATACATTTATAGATTAAGAATATTGAAAAAAATTTCCAAATAGATGCAAAATTGGCTTTTCTGTGAGAAGGAGGTCCCATTATCAAAGAGATTTTATTTTCATGTCTATAGATAATTATTTGAAATATTATCCATTTTTACAAATTAATCTTGACATCTATAGAGTTATAAAACAGCCTAGTCATACCCTAGATTCAGATAATCCATGGACATTCCAGCATTCCACTGAAAAGGTTTTCAGAAATCTCTTTATTTTTCCAAACTATTTCAAAAAATTTGCTTACCATCTCTTTGCTCAAAGTGACCTCAAACAAAGTTATTCACAAAATAAGGCTGGTTTCATTAGGCTTGGCCTGATTATTTGTATTAGTGCAGCAAAAATGATAATTGACCATATAGGCCACCTTCAAGCTTATTATGCTATAAGTTTTCATAAGGAACCTCAGATTGAACTTTTTTTTTTTTTGGTACCGGGGATTGAACTCGGGTCCTTGCACTTGCATAGCAGGCAGCAAAACCACTGAGCTAAATCCCTGGCCCTCAGATTGAACTTTTAAAATTTCTTATTACTTGAAATCCTAAGGCTAGAAAATCAAGTCCCAAAACCTTTGTTCTCTCGAATTAAGCTGCAGGATCTATAAACAGGTACTTTCCTCTATTTAGAGGTCCTCCAAATATCCTAAGGTTCTTGGGCAGGTAGGATGTGACTTTCCTTACCACCTATAGGGATAACAATCTGGGCTAGTTTTCCTGGGAAGACTTTGCAAACATTAGCTCTAGAAAGTCAGCCTTAGTCCTGTAAAAGTAACCAGTCATACCTGAATAAATAAGCATAATCCTTAAATATGAAACATGGAATGCCAGGCAAAGCTTTGGTTGTATAAGTACCTTTTCCAGTTATATCTTAGTAAAAGGAAAAGAAGGTCTTATTAAAGTTATGCAAATGACTATGTTGTAATGAAATGTAAGGAGCCTCAATGAGGGTCTCTGAGTTTGGGATGTGTGTATAAAGTATCAGAAGTTTGATTTTCTTATTTTATGAGAATCTTAGGAATATCAGGTTTATAGAAACACTTAATTATCTCTATAAGCCAGGCAGATAGAGCCCCTTTAAGATCTCTTATTATCTGATTTATTAATGCCATCTGGAGATGAGAAAACTTTCCACACTCACAACAGGAGATAATGGGCTTTCTGAATTCTGGGTACATAGACGTGCAGTTACAGAGAAGGTACATACCCTCAATCCTGCAATTTCAGCCACAGAACAAAAGTAAACACAGAAACAAAAACTTGCTAGTACAGATATCTGCATTGCCCTCCTTCCTTGTGGGCATAAAATTCCTAACTGATTTGAACTCGAAATAGACAATATTCTGTATTTTTTACCCAGAAAGAAATAGATGTCTGTAAGACCTTAATCCATTTCCAGAGATTACCAAATTCCTAATCATTGGCGCTATCAACAGGAATGTATTAATTACTTTTCTCTCATTGCTGAGACAAAATACCTGACACCCAAAGTTGAAGGGGAAAGGGTTTATTTGTCTTAGAGTTTGTACACATTTCGGTCCATATTCAGCTGGCTCCAAAGCAGGGATGGCAAACAGGCATCACAGAAGAGAAACAACATGGCATGCACAAGGTAGCAAAGGCAAGGAGAGACCTTAACATAATCTTTCTGCCCCTTTTATCTTATTCAGACTACTGGGAATTAGGGTGGTGCCAAACCAATCACTCACATTAAGTGGTTTAGTAATCACTCACCCTTAATCCTAGCATCACACATTCCAGATTTAGCTACCTTCAAAAAAGACTCCATGAGGCTTTGGGGGAACATCTAGACACAAGCCACAACAAGGAACAACTTGTCATTCATAAATGAATTAGAAAGAAAAGCAAATTAATAGAGAGTAGAATTAAAATTAAACAAAAAGAAACAAGATTCAACAAAATGCCACTTTAAATTTACCTGTGGGAACCAAGGAAAAACATCCCTGGACTTGATTATCTGTAATTTTTGCTGTTTCTGATGCTCTCAAGTGACTCTTGCTCACTTTGGTGAGTTCTCCAAAATTGTTAAAGGTTGATTTGAAAAAATCATGAAGTCATGACTCTTACACAAATATAAAATGAATACGTCAAAGACTATATTCAGCTCATTAATTAAATGAAGGAGCTAGTAAGACATTACAATCAATTCTAAGAAGAACCCAAACAAGATTTGATTTATAAATCAAGAATATTAAAATAAATCTGGAGAAAGATGAAAAACTGTTGTTTCATGGGAAGAATCGTCCTCCATGTGATAGAACTTCTTTGCATGTATATAGATAAGAATTATTTGCACTGCTATCATATATCTATACATTAACTTTAATCTTTACAGATTGTAAAATAAACAATAAAAACAAAGGTGGAGCCCTGTAGAGTCAGAGAAGCTTCAGAGTTCCCAGTGTCTGGATATAAAAAAATCTCTTTTATCTATTTTCAAGTGTTAATTTTTTTCCTGCCAGTGGTGAATGTATGCACTGAAATTGAATTCCTTCAGCTAGTACAAAGCAAGGGTTAAAATCATGCTCATATTCTTTAGAATTCTCAGAATGAAACTGATTCTTGAAATGAAAATATACTGAATTATAAAACACTTTTTTCTCACATCTGCAAAACAAGCATAATTCTCGTGCAGAGATTTGATATTTATCAATGAAAAATATTTTGTGAGAATAAAGAATGAATCTTACGGTTTTAAAGTCATAGTATAGTCAGTTCTTGTGTTATGAACATTAAAAGTGCTAACTTTAAGAAAGGTTTAAAGAGTTGTATTCTGTATCAGTAGTTCTCACGTTTTAAGAGATCCAGAGTACTTATTTAACATGTATATCACTGAGCGTCAATTCTGGTAGTTCTCAAACTTCAGTGCACCTAAGTATTGCTTGGAGGATTTGATAATGCACATTTTTAGGCCCTGACCTCAGACTTTTGGACAGGACTGAAGTGGAGCCCAGAAACCTCCATTTTCAATGAGAAACTCTTCCCCCAATTGATTCCACTGAAAATTTCTGGAGATTTCTCTTTGGAATCACTGTTTCACAAGAGAAGTCCTCTTCAGCTCTCTAACCCTTCAGTGATAATCCTTCTGAAATCCCATAACACTATACTGACTAGTTTAAAAGGAATATATTAGAGGTCTTAAAACAAATGGAAATAATTATCAGCTCCTCTTAGAATGTGTGCTAACCTCTTCAACATAGTCCAGCTTGGTACAAAGTTTGTATTCAAAGAATTTGTTGAGATCCAGAGTTCTTTACTTTTCTTCCTGTTATATAAGAAAGCAACCAGAAATCAAAGTCCTACCACGTTTATTATAAATAGTTCTCAAGTTTCTGGGTTTCTGGCTTTAATGCAATAGGTCACCTTGGGCCGAGGATTTAGCTCAGTGGTTTCGCTGCCTGCTGCGCAAGCGCAAGGACCCGAGTTCGATCCCCGGTACCAAAAACAAAAACAAAAACAAAATAGGTCACCTTAGTGAAAGTTCTGCCCCCAATGGCAGAACATGTTCAAACTTTGTTCAATTATTCATCGATTATTCCTTGATTTATTTGTTTACTTATTTAACAATGTCTCTTGTCTCTAAAAAGGCTTGACTTCAGCCTTGCTGATACAGCATGAGTTCTAGGAACTGTAAATTAGTTGAATTAATACTAACCATGTTGCTCAGTTACACTAAAATAAACTATTCATATCTTTAGGTGATATGATAAATGTCTATTGATAACTCCTTTTATAAAGTTTGACTGATTGTAACAACGAGGCATGATTTGAAGCACACAGATTTTCTTTCTTCCAGAACAAGGGATCACCTTAGTCATCAAGAATATGTGCCTGATTTCTCTGAATTTTAAAAAGAGTAACAATATTACCAGTGGTTGAAAATGTCATAAAAACAAAGAAGTTTTAGTTTGCCTTGAAATTATATTTCTACTTTAAAATGAAATTACCTTAGTGCAATTTTATTTCATATTACTATTATTGGAAATGACATTTTTCCCTGAGTTAGAATATTAAGCTGAAATGAATGCATACTTGTAGCTGGCTTTGCATGCAAAGGATTAAGGCACCAGATGCACTTTTACAAATAAGATGATGGATAGAGTAAGTTACAGTTGTCGAGTTTATAGAGCTCAGACTTTGTGATCTGGCTTAAGTTAAACTCATATTCCGTTCATTTTCCTTTTTAGGGATTTTAAGTATGATAGAATGAGGGCTGATCCCCCCAACAGCAAGGATTACCTTTCGGAATCCACCCATTACACCCAGAGCAGCTCTTCTGCACAGTTTTGACGAAGCACATAAGCTTCCCACTGCAGGTAAGTAAATGAGAATTTATGCTAATGATAGGGGCTAGAAATAAGACAAACGGGTTAGAGGGTGAGAGGGAGGGGAGCTACTTGCTTGTGAAGAAAGAGTCAGGGGATGTCTCTCAGAAGACATAGAAGGCTTGCACTACAATCTAAATGATAAGGGAGAGTTAAGCATCCAAGGAAGAACATTTCAGACATAGACCAGGACAGGGACAAAGGCCCTGAGGAAGTGAGCAAGAAGGCTGGGTCATGAGCAAGGGAGAGAAGGGAGGCATTCTGGCCGAAGAAGCCAAGAGGGGCCATATGATGTACAAGGGGTGATCAGTGAATGTTTAAATTGTAAAAATTTATTACAGTAAAAAAAAAAGAAACACATTGCCATTAATTCCCCTTAAAATACTCCTCCTCACTTTGAACACACTTATCCCATCATTCTTGCCACTTTCTGAAGCAGATCTGGAAGTCCTCTTTTGTGGGTGTCTTTAAGAGGTTTGATCAAAAATATGATGAATGCTACTGCTGAGTGCCATCCAACTGAAAGGCAGGCAGGTGGTGCATCCTCATTCACCTTATTCACCCGATCTGGCACCGTGCAGCTTCTGGCTCTTGCCCAAAGTCAAAATGGTCATGTAAGGTAAATGTTTTGAATCATTTCAGGTGTACTTTTCAGCTCAAGAATTTCTGCCCTGATTTTTAAAAATTGCTTTCATCTCTAAGTTTTTCTAAGAGTAGTGAAACATGTCTCTGTGTTTTCTTCAGGCTCATTGAGTTTCCTTAAAATGGCTGTTTCAGATTCTCTGAGAGTTCTCACATACTGGTTACTATCTGGTCAGTTTCTGGCACTTAATTTTCAGTTTTAGGTGAGGGGACAGTTTCCTGAAACCTCTTGATGCTTGTTGGTGTGTGACCCATCTGGGCATTGAAGGATTAGGTGTTTATTCCAGTCTTCTGCCACCAATCAGTTAATGGTTGTTTTGCTCAGTTTGGTTGAAATGATAAAGTTGGCATGTCACTGAGTGTTGCCCCAAGAGGTCTCTCAAAGAGAAGATGAGGAGCTCAACTTGCCCCCCACCCCATGGAGTAGGTTTGTCGACTGTCATCATAGAAAAACAAAAGTCGGGCCAGGGATTTAGCTCAGTGGTTTCACTGCCTGCTGTGGAAGGAAGTGCAAGGACCCGAGTTCAATCCCCAGTACCAAAAAAAAGTAGAAAAACAAAAGTCCAGGATGCATAAGTGAGAGGCACAGGCAGAGTAAGGAAATAAGAGAAAATAGGGAAGGAATTTGAGCTTGAGGAGCTAACGGAGGCACAGCTCTTAGGAGGATCAGTCTGACACCTTCACAAAGGAACAAGACTAGCTTTTATGGATTTGCCGGGGTGAGCTAGGGGCTGACACTCCATTTGGTCATTAGTATGGCATTTGTTTTTAGACTTTCCCTTCATTTTAAGGGATTTCCTCCCTGTGAGATATGGATGAGCAGCCATCCTCACCCTCAGAGGCATCCTGACATTCTCCCTTGCTGTTACACTGTACCAGGTCCTTGCAGTAAGAGTAGGGGGATAAAGGGAAGGCACATTCCATACATTATTAGCAAGGGAAAATTGAGAAAAAGAGATGTCTCTGTCTTTAGTGAGTAACAAGTCGTGGATTAAAGTCTGAGAATCCATGTGTCTTGTCCCTTGAAGGTACCTGTCCTATTTCATCCCTGATCTGGTCTTGTTTGTGCCTGTCTTTCTAGGAACTCTAGGCAGGCTGCTTATTTTCTCAGAGCCTGGAGTCACTTTCACTATTTCAGCACTGGATAGCACCCAGATTCAAATTTTCTGGTGTTCTACTATTGGTGATTTATCACTGTTTCAGTACTAGGGGGCAATCCAAGTTAAGCTTTGTTTCAAATACACTGTTGGTGTATTGTTCAAAAAACAAAACAAAAAACAAGAGAATAATAATATCTAGAAAGAATCTATCCCCACAAGCCTCTCCCCGGTGCTAGGGTAGGTCTAGATGCCTTACCTAGTTACCTGCCTCTGGTCAGGCATTGTAGGGTTTTGCCTGGCTCTGGGCAGAGTCACCGTGGATGGACTAGCCCCAGGCTCCTATGTAATACCTGTGGCCACCAAAGTCTCCAAGCTGTGTCCCACTCTGAGCCCACCACCTGCTAAAATCAGCACAACACTGGGGTAAAACCAATTCCTATGCTGCTATTGGCTGCCCCATGGTATAAGCCATTGTCTGCAGATCTGCGCCTTACATAAATTCCAGGCAGGAAGAAAGGGGAAATAATGGCATTGGGCTCTCCCCAGAAACTATATTGACTATTTTGTCTCTTAAATCTCACTGGTCTCGTGACTGCTGTTAGGTACAAAGAAGGCAGGGAAAGTGAATGTCCAGGTTATAGTTAGCGTTCTTGTTGCTAGGACCAAATACGTGACACCTACAACTTAAAGAAGGAGAGATTTACTTTAGTTCACGGTTTCAGAGGTCTCAGTCCATGTTCAGCTGGCTTCAAGGCAGAAACATCATGGTAGCAGGGAGTGGCAGAGGAAAGCTGCTCAACTCATGGTGTCTGGGACACAGAGTGCAGGGAGGAGCACCAGAGTGGAAGAGGACAGGAACAGATAAAGTCCCCAAGGTCACATGACCTATACAGGCATATCCAGAAGTATGCTTCATTAATCTCCTAGGGATCTTCCAGCCAATCAGGTAGGTCGGGATTAACTGTCACACCAGGGATCGGGTTAGAGTTAGCATTAGGATTAAGGACATATTTATACTAAATAGTATTATGAGTTAGTCTAATCTATTCATGAAAATTCTGATCTTCTTTGGTGGATATTTAAATATACTTAATATCTGAGATATTTTAAAATTACTTTTTATTTATCTGAAATTAAAATTTAACTGTGTCTTTTTTTTTTTTTTTTTTTTTTTGGCTAAACCTGACAACCCTAGGAACATATTATCACCCTGAAAATATTTTAAAATTTGTAGGGAAGAAAGGGGGATGGTTACTTGGCAGTCAACTATCAATAACTATCACAGAAGCATACAGGTTTGTCAAGAAAGACATGAGTGTCTTCATTCTGTAAAATTACCTATGGCAAATTTTATCATAAACATTTTTCCAGAAGGGAAATTGAGTAGCAAAAACGTGTAAGTCTACAGTGGGTTCTGCATGCCCCACGGTGCCCTGCCCAGGCAACACATGTCCAAGGGAGCCATGTGAAGCCAGAGAACCCAGACAGGTGTAAGACTGGGTCAGGGTTCTTTGTATGGAGCCGGTTTCAGTGCTCTGCAATTCTTGCTACTTTTTCAAAGATGGCTGAAAATATTCCTTGTAGCCTACTGGAGGGAAGGAATATTTTCGTAGTGAGGTTCTAAATTATATATTGATATCCTTTACTAGCATGCTGTTTTGATCAATACCTGTCAATTTTTTCAAAGATTATTGTCACAGAACTGATAGAAAAGGGGGTTGAATTGAAGGAATTGAGATAAAGGAAGCCTTACTTCTTTTATGCAGTTAACCATTTAAATAAACTATTTGTTCTCTTTCTTAGAGTAAGTAATGAAAGAATTTTTCTCCCCTGAGAATGTGAGGCTTGGGCTGCTGGTAAAGGGCAGCTGAGTGTGCTGCCAGGCAAAAGGAGAGATGGATTGAGAATCTTACCTAGCATGAAGGTCTGGCCCCCTATAGACTCAGTATGTTCGCCAAAATATGCTGCTCATCAATTTAATTAATTTCAGAAAGAATTTTTATGGGGCTGTTTCCTGTATCACTTCACTAAGTCATTTAAATTTTTTAGTCACTCTTTTTAAATGGCTATACAATGAGATAGCCCATCCTAGGTAACTATATTAATTTTCTTGTATATGAACTTGGGAATCTGGCTATTGAAAGAAATCTTATAGTGAAACATTATGTAAGAAAAATATTCCTGTCTAATTTGCCTGTTTTAAAAATTGCTTTTTATCTAGTTTGAGTAAGGTGGGCCAACCTGGTATGCACGTGGAATTAGCTGTCCCGTGCTCCCAGCTTTCTTTATTTGGTACAGGGACCAAACTCAGGACCTTGTGCTTGCCAGGCAGGCGGCGGAACCACTGAGCTAAATCCCCAGACCCCAGCTTTTCTTTTGAAGTCGGTGTTCACAGACAGCTCACTGGATGGATGCGGAAAGATGGAGCGCGAGCAGACAGTGGGTACAGGCCCACCTGACTTTCCATGGCATCCACCCAGTGCCTCAGCCTCTTTCTGGGGGAGGTAACACTGCTCCTCCTCTCTCATAGCCCCCATCACTGTGCCTCAGAAACCACCACTGGTTCCAGAAGAAGTGCCTTGTCTCAGAAACAAAAATCAAAGGTATTCATATTTCCAACCACAGAAAGAAAATTGTTCTTATTTACAATATCATCCGGGAAATTTTTGGTAATATCCACATACATGGCACTGATGTAAGTGCTACTTCAGCTTTTCGTTTTTGTTTTTGTAGCGCTAGGGATCCAATCTAGGGCCTTGTGCCTGTTAGGCAAGTGCTTGTCCATTAAGCGACATTCCCAACCCCTGACATTAAAAGAGGGGAGATTAGGGCCTGGGATTTGGCTCAGTGGTGCTGGAGCCTGCCTCGAAAGTGCAAGGTCCCAAGTTCGATCCCCGGTACCAAAAATAAAACAAAAACAAGAAAAGGAGAGATTATTGTACAAGTCAAGGTTCTCACAACACTATCAGTGAAGTCTAAAAATTTCAATCTTCTTGCATTATCGCAAGATAAACTGAGTGACTGAGTCAGCCAACACTGCTCGTTGGACAGGAGTCTGGGATGCATTAGTTCTTGAGATGTGAGGCTTTACTGCTCAGTGTCTCCTTTGTGTTTAACCATGGGCTAAAATGGCAAGACCTCCAATTTTGCGCAGGAAACCTTAATGAGGAAGAGGAAGTAGTTCTGTGTTCTTCCACATTAGTACCACATAGTACAGTGTAATTCATCCTCAGAAAGATGTCCCTAGTTTAAAGGCGCTGGACTTATGTAGCTTGCTTTTTTATGCTAATGGATCACAGACAGACTTGCAATAATTGAAACTTTTCACTAGAAAGGAGACAGCTGGCAGTGCTGTTTCTGGCTTACCCACGTGGTCATGTTTTCAGCTACTGTCATAAAGAAAGGAAGAGAAATTGCAGAGTGGCACCTAAGAAATTAATCCTGTTATGTCTCCAGAGTAGACCACTGCACTACCTGTTCTTACCCTTCATCTTTCAGTGCCCCACTCTTCCTAAGAGATTTTCACCGTCTTTTCGGCACTGGTGGGCTTAAGAGCTTTCCAGGCTGTTTATGTAGCAGCATGTCATGTGACACCCCAGTTGCCATGGCAAATATTTGTGTTTCATGAAAAATGTGGGTTAAAAAAAAAAAATCAATGTAAATGGCCAAATCCCAAGACAGACAGGCCTTCAGGCGAGTGCTTGGCCGGCACCATTATTGTTTGAAATTCAGCTGTTTAGCAGGCTGTGAGAAGGCCATGGGCTAATGTGCATAATGGAAACAGGCGAGGCACCTGTTTTGGTTCTCACCCTGTTCAAGTGCTCAGGTCCGACAGTTTTACAGAAAAAATCTACAGGTAATACAGACAGCACGACTAAGTTTTAGCCGGTAAGCATTTTACCTAAAAACAAACAAAAAACTTGAAAAAAATGACATATTTCCCGAATGTTAATTAGCCCTGGCTTTAATTTCCTCTGCTGACCTCACAAAGCTTTCTCCTACTGTTAGAAGCAGTAATATTTAAAGACCTTTCCCCCGGCCCCCCGTTGGTACATTTCTCCATTGTCTTTCAGTGGTAAATGTAATTATTCATACACTTTGTGGTAAGTGCACTAGGCATGGAATTCAAAGACCAAGAGAAAGGTGCACCATCCCCAGCCTCACGACGGAGGCAGAACACTTTTGAGCAGGCTCCAGCACCAGGTTCTGGGGTGCCACACGAGAACCCTTTCCCATAAACATTTCTCCAAGGGTTCCCTAGAAGTGCAACTTGGCATCTGATGATAGTTGTTTTGTACATATTTACTTTGTCAAACTCTTTCCTCAATGCAAACAGGGCTTGGCGAGCAGAGCATCCTTGTCTGGGTTTGGGAGAGGTCTAATTATTAGCTCTTGCCTGCCTGCAAAGAGGGAACAGGCTGGCCCAGCGGGGCAAGCAGGGCAGTGGGGGAGAGGGACTCTGAGCCTTCTATTTGTTTTATAAAAGTGCCCATGAGAGTCATTTTGATTTAACCAAGTCTCGTTCTTCATTGTAGGGGAGAGGCAGAAGGTCAAGAGGACACTATGATGGGAAGGTCTGTAATTTGTGTGACTAGTTGAAATTGGGATCTGTCACCTGATGTCCCTTCCTTTTGCTGCAGGGCAGAAGGACGGGAGGCCACTTGACAGCTAGACATGGCAACCAAAGTTCTGCGCTTCCTTTATAAAAGAAATGAGACCATGTTTTCAGGAAAAGCCATGGTTTGCTTAAAGTGAAAAACCTCTTTTTTTTTTTTTTTGTACCAGAGATCGAACTTGGGACCTTGCGCTTGCGAGGCAGGCGCCGGAACCACTGAGCTAAATCCCCGGCCCCTCTTTTTTTGTTTTTTGCTTTCTGTTGGGACTGTTATCACTTTTCAGTCTTCAGTCCAAACAAATAATGGAGTCCCCTCAGAATTTAGCTGAATTATGTCACCCTCAGTCAAGATTTTCATCATTTAAGAGTATAGTTAGAAGGAAATAAGGTGTTAAAAATAAATTCAGTTGTCCCCAGTATGTGCTTACATGTGCGCACATGTGTATGTGTGTGCTGCATGTATGATGTGGTAGATGAGGGTGTGGGATTCAGAGTTAAGTTAACTGCAACAACCAAGGTAACCAAAAAATGGGAAAAAGTGAAATAGTTCCCACAATATGGCAAGTATGTGCAAGCAAGAATATTCCACGAGGCCACGCATGGGTAGGAGAAAACCTGAACTTGAAACAGGAATGTGCTGAATTCTCCTCCCACTAGTAGAGTAATTAACTTTGGCAAGTCTCTTAAATTCTCTTTACCTCATTTTTGTCTGGCAAATGATGCCTCCTTTCTCGTAGGGTTGCTGCAAGGACCAGATAAGTTAATGTGTATGAGAGTGCTTTGGAAGTAGAAAGCACTTTTATCATAATTCATCCCCCCTTCTTTTCTTTTTTTCTTTTTTACAGTATTGGGGATTGAACCCATGCCCTTTAAGGTACATCTCCAACACTATTTTTTTATTTTGCTCAGGTTGGCTTCAAACATGTGATCCTTCTGTCCGCCTCCCAGAGTGCCGGGATTAGTCACTGGCTCACTTTTAAAACCATCTACTGTATGCCAGTGATGGCGAACCTTTTAGACACAAATGCCCAAACTGCAGCCCAAAACCCACTTATTTATTGTAAAGTGTCAACACCAATTAAGCCCGAATACTGAGGTTTTAGTTTAGAAAAAACAACTCATACATTAACATCTTTTGTCTTAAAAGAAAAACAAATAACATGCATGGCATAGGGGGCTACCACTGTTCTAGGCCTTCTTTTCTCAGTGATCTTATCAGGAAGAATTTCAGAGGAAGCTGAGCTACCTCTTTTTAAGTAGGAGGGGTAGGGAAAAGGAATGAATGGAATGGAATTAATATGAGAAAATGAAAAAATGGCAACAATGTCTTTGTAAACAGGGAGGGATGGAGGGGTTAAAGGGAGGGAAGGGGAATGCAGAAAAAATAAGAACCAAGATATATCATGTAAAGGTACAAATATCCAATGATGAATGTCATTATATTGTATACCTAAAATGTACCAATAAAATTAATTTTTAAAAAAAGAAAAAAGAGCCCACCTTTTGGCTCTCCTTTGACCTGCAGAGCTGTGACTAGAAAGGCCTGTTTTTACAAGAGCTGCAGGCAGTGCTTCTGAACCTAGGCAGATTGCTCCTAGATAAATTCTTCAGTGCAGTCAGATCCTCCCCAGTCCCCTTGGCTTTTACAGTGAGGAAATCGTGAAGCTGATTCTGCACTTCCAAAGTAGAATGTGTTTTAAGAACACAACGTTCTTTATTCGGAATATTTCTAACTGCTAATGCTGATTGAGCATGTCCTTGCTCATGGCACTGAGCACCTGCCATACCCGTGGGACCCTCATCGCAATGGAAGGACTTCTGTGGTGCCAGAGCCCCCAGGCCCACCCAGATGGCAAAGGGTTGTGGTGACCCTGTGGACACAGTGAGGCTCCAGAGTTGGCTCTCTCCACAGACCGGTTATGACCTCTCCGCCATGGGCTCGTCCTCTAATCACTACTGCTACTGCTGACCCTGCCCCTGCTACTGTTACCCCACCAGTAGTAGTGAGTGTTTACTCCGTGCCAGGCTGTTCCCAGTGTCCTCACAGCTCTGTGCTGTAGGTCTATTGTGATGTTATTTCACTGGGAGGAGCTGGATACAGAGAGGTGAAGTCATCCAATGAGTAAATGACAGAGCCAGCATACAAAACTGGACCATGTGACTCCAAGAGCTCCGGAGCATTAGAAACCTTTATGTATCTCAAGCATTTTCACTGGAAATCTTTCTGTAACACATTATGTCTCTGCCTGCCCAATGTAATGTTTTCTCTGTCCAGGGTCATGTGTGCCTTTGTTTTCTTCAGTATCGCAGGGCCGTTGTCCTCTCTGCCATCATGTCTGCTTTTATGACCTCTGACTTTAACGGTCTTTCCTGTCTTCCAGATTGGTTGACCAAACAACCAAAACTCAAGAAGCTGAATAAGTTTGAGCCAGTCATGCTCTCCACAAGGATCCAAAGGATAAAATAATAAACCATAATAGAGTTTGTAGTACAAGTTATTTTAAAACATTCAAGGAATATCAATTTTTAGAAATCTGGTTTGAAGTTACTAAAATTGCCTCTCAGGAAATAAATTTTTTTTTATCTTAAGGCAGGCAAATTAACAGCTATGTTAAAATCCACTTAATTTTAATTATATTTAGATAATTATTTTCATGGGTAAAAGAAGCAAACAATATATTTATTGGACAGTACAGGTACAGATTACATTCATGAGTATGTCTGCTTCTTCAAAGGGGGAGAGATAAGGATGAGACTAAATTTTATATTTATGTGATATATATAGATATGTCTATATCTATCTGTCTATCTATCTATCTATCTATATATATATAGAGAGAGAAAACAGGTGTCCATGGTATTTTATATTATTCTCTGTATGTTCACAATTCTTCCAAAAGAAGAAAGAAGAAAAGAAATTCCTATTTCCTAATCCATACCTCTGTTGTAAGATTTCCTTTGGTATGGGGAAAATAGGTTTGGGGGATAACATTCTAATCACATACCTGGAGATCTTACTTCTCTTAATAAGTTTTGCCTTTTACTGTTTTTCCAACATGTACTCATGATCCCCTTGTCAGAAAACTGATTATTTTATGGATGGGTCAGCTGAACTGCCTCAGTCACGCAACATGTATGACACTGAACATGTCACTGCCCCTAGCTGGCCTCATTTCCTCCTATCTGTACAAGCAGGACTGGCCCAGATAAAGTTGGGGCAGAGGGGCTTCCATAGTGCCACAGTCCTCACCTCACAGGCCCAGGGAAGGGAGAGAGGCACAAGATCCCAGGTGTGTGTGTGTGTGTGTGGGTAGTCCTCACACACATAGCAGCTGTGTTATCTATTTTCCTCTTCACTGTCAAATTATATCATATTTGAACAATGTTCCAGACATTAAGATAGATACGTACTTTGAAAGCCTCAAGGTGATGTCTAGCAGCAGTTTTAGCTTTACTATGACCTGTCTGGCAGGGACTAAGCTTACCTCTTAATGAGCACAGGATGCCTTGCTGGTGGACTCCGAGTGCTGGGAACTCGGGTTAGAGAGAGGGCAGGTCTCAGTTTGATGAGAATCAGAGCTCTGCAATCTAGAGATACAGGACAAGACTCAAAAGCAAATCCAAGGCTAATTGTTTTTTTTTTTTCTCTCTCAAACTTTTTCTCTCATAAAATGCCATTTAAGGGAGAGAAGAAAAATTCCCAAAAGAAAACCTATAGAATTTTTTAAAAACCATTTTGCATTTTAAAAAATTCATTAGAAATTTCCACCCTTACCTATGCATTTTTGGCATTAAACTTGCAAAGTGAAATTAATTATATGGCTTTATTTGAAAAGCAATTTGTTTCTTGCAAGAAGTAAAAAAAAAATCCCAACCTGTAAGGACTGTTTTTACAGTAGCACTGTTTTACTTTGTAGCACTGCCTAACTGCATACTTTTATTGCATGTGGTTAAAAATTTTACTATGTACATCAGAAAAAGCAACAAAATAATCTTTATGTTTTACTTTATCTCTTTCATTTAACAAATTATATCCCGATCATTCTTTAAAAATTTGGAAAGGAGGGAAAAATGACAAAGTATGCAAAAAACTTTTTCCTTATAATATCACAACCCTTTGGTGTTATCTAAACTTTGAGATAGTCCTTTGTATCACATTGTATACTCAACTGTGATTTTACTCTTTCACCTAGCAGTTTATCATAAGCCTTTACAATATGACTTAAAACTCATTATAACATTTTAATGGCTATATATACCATAAAAACAAAGCCATTACACTTTGTTCATCTTTAAATTATAAATGTGAAATTATTAATAGATTATTTCCAGTTTTTCACTGTTATCAACAAAGTACCATGAACATCTTTCATCTTGTATGTAAACCTTTGTATTTAGGGTACCTCCTACAGGTAGAACTCCTTGGTCAGAGGGTATGAACATTTTTTGGATCTGAGTAGCTAAACTTCCTATTATTGTAGTGCTCCAAAACTCAAGCAATGAGTTTGCAATAACTCACATGATCATAGAACAGCTTTGTGTTGTAAAACCAGTCTAAGTGGCCTTGAACTTAAGTTTTAGAATTCACACATTAACTTGTTCATTCATTCAACAAATCCTTATTGACCTTTTGTCATGTGCCAGCAGTGTACTAGGGGACACAACAATGAATGAAGCCAGCCAAGTCCTTGCCCTCTTGGGACTTATGTGAGGGAGGCAGATGATGAAGAGACATTCTATTGTCAGAGTGATAAGCAGTACAAAGAAAGTAAAGCCAAATACTTATGTAGGTATAGAGAATGTGTCAAAGTGGTGCACTATGAGCTCTACAAGTACATTGTTCTTTAGTGATGTTATCAGCAGACTTGCTATCCACATATTTTTCCTCAAGAAAATCAGAACATTACACTTTACTTGGTGGTAGTTGTACCTACAGAGAAAATGATGATGTGCTTTTGCTCAGGGACCTAGGAAGGGGGCTGCTTTTGATTCCCCTCCCGTCAGGCTTCCTGTACACATCCCCAGCAGGTTCAACCCATCCATCATAATTGTCCTAAGTGGTCTTTAACCATGTCACATTCTCTCAGAGAATATTCGAAGGGTAGCAGAACAAATGAGATCAATGCAGCAGTAAAATAAAATGTGCCTCTAGAAAAGGAAATTTCACATTTGACTGGAAATAGGCTCCCCGTTTAAAATATCTTCCTGATTCTGTTTGATCTTCCACCAGAATGTGATCCATTGAGTGTTTTTTTCCATCTGAGTGCACCTAAGGGTGGGGATTTCACTGCTCAGAAAGTGTTTCAGAGTTCAGAAAGACTCATTTGAATAATACCTTTCAAAGCAATTGTAGAAATTATTCCTAGAAAACTGCCACTGATCTGAGTGACCTTCACACTCAGTTCTCTCCCTATTTATGTCTCTGTTCAGTGAGTTCTCTATTTATGCCTTTTATTCTCTTTATAAAGGTGAAGGACTCTGACTCTTACTTTTAACTGACAGTCAAGTTTTAGGCTATTTCTAGGTCTCAAACCCCGAGAGTTGTTTGTTGATTTGCAGACCCCATGAGATCAGAAAATATCACTTTTGGGGGTTTTCTCCTCAACCTTGCACATTAGGGCTTGTGGGAAACTTGCCATCGATATTTTTTGTTTGTTTGCTTGTTTGTTCTTGGTACTGGGGATCGAACTTGGGTCTTTGCGCTTGCGCAGCAGGCGGTGATATACCACTGAGCTAAATCCCCGGCCCCTGGCCATCGATTTTGATTTGATAGTTTCTAGAAACATTTTCTGTTTTAAAAAAAAATGGAAAAGGAAAAAGAATCTCCCCAGGTCTATCTCATGGTAAAGGAAGTGGTGCCATTGGAGAGAACTGCCTTTGATCCTTTTATTAGCTCCAGGGGTTAATTTAAAGCCAGCTCCCCCAGGTGGGGGTGACATGTTAACTCAGAAAGTCATAGGGTGTGAAAGTTAGAAGTACCCCCAAGTAGTACCCTAATGGAAACTAAAATGACTTCCTAAGACTGTAGGAAGGCAGTGACAGACCTGAGTCCAGGTCTTCTAGCTTCAGAGCTACCACTCTTCCACTATACCATGTTATGTTCATTGGTACCTTCATAGGGATTAGTTTAACAAATTGCTTTCCAGCCTAGCAAATGAGAAGCAGCAGGTCAAGCCCAGGCTGGCTCTGATGTAGGAGGTGATAGAGGAAAGGCAGAGCAAGGAGACCACAACACAGTAAGGCACCATCTGCAGTTATAGGCAGCTAGGCCTGTGAGCATGAGTGGCTTGGGGGTAGGGGACAGCATGGGAAAAGGTGTGAAGAGAGAGCGCCATGAGGGAAGAAAGAGGGCAGATAGTGGCACAGAGTGGATCTGAGATTAGTTGGAATTCAGCACTAAGTCTTCTTCCCTTGAACCCAGAATAGTCTATGGGGCAAAAGGCAAGGTCAGTGATCTTCAAAATCTCTCATGTCTTAAAATTCAAGACTTGATCATGCTAAATTCCTGAACCCTGATTAAGTCAGCTATTCTCTCTGAACATTGTGTGTACCATTTGAACAATTCAATCCAGCTGAGGTCCTGATATTTATTCTGGACAAAGTTTAACACATTGTGGACTTTCACCAAAATTTTAAAAATAGAGTCAGACAAATGGAGTCCTTGGCCTTTGGGGAATAATAAAAACTCCATCTCTGAATCACACTCCATTCATTCTTTGAAATCTAAGCTCTCACTTAGAGTCATAATGTGCAGGAAGAACTTACTTTTCATACAATGCAACTGCCTAGACTAATTACTAATGGGTAAGTTTTGGTGTTGAAGAAACTGAACATTGACTGATAGATTCAAAATTATTTTAGTCTATTCTTCTAGGCAATGTATTATCATTCTCCGAAAATGATATCCATGTTGAATTATCCCAAATATTTTACTACTTATTACTAGGAGATCTTGCTTATATCAGATTTATAGATCTATAAATCCTACATCTATGTGCTGTCCATATGTATGAAAATAAAATTTTTCATAAAGAAATTCAGCTTAGAAATATATTACTTTTTTTCTGGAATTTTTCTTAGCAATAGCTATTTCTAAATTTTAGAATGCAATACGGACGGTGCTTGTGTTTTTTGCTTTACATTGGATCTTACTAACCTATGAAACCATCACCTTATCTTCCTGTTTTGTTTTGGGTTTTTTGCTTTAGATTTAGAATCTTCCTGAAATAACTGCTCCAGAAACTCTCAAAGTTACCTAATTAGTGATTACACTTTGCAAATGAAGAAGAGCATTTCCCAGCTAGTTGACTCAGTCAGATAGAGCAGGATGCTAATAATTAGGCTACAGCCACCAGTTTGGGCCATGTGTGGGCCAATTACTGAGTGCAGGCTTCACCCAAGTCTTAGGTGGGGCTGTGGTCCCAAGAAGGACCAGGTGAGAGGTGAGACTGCAGATGTCTCAGCAGACATGTGTCCCCACCAGGAGGAACAAAATTTGCCACTGAGTCAGTAATACCCATTGGAAGTGCAGTGCATTATAAACAAAAAAGGAGGGAGGGAGAAGTGGAAAGAGAAAGGAAAGAAGGAAAGGAAGAAGGAAGAAAGGGAGGGAAAACCAACAAATCATACAAGACAAGTTCTTGTAGATAGATAATAAAGGAAGAATAACAGAAGGAACCAGAACCTGAAGTGTGGTGTGACCTTTAATCAGGGCTGTGATTCCTATCAGGCTGTGAAGCAGCTTTGTCTTTACCTGCTCAATGGGTCTCACAATGCTGATGCACTGCTTTAATTTGGGAAGGCTTTCTCTTGAGAGGCATGTCTTTTCTTGCTCTAAGTCTAAAGTGCTCCCGTGTGTGGCATTCTCTGTGACAGATGTACTACAGTTATGCTTTAGCTGACTCCAAACCCATAGCTTCCCTGGGCCTGAGTGGTCTATTTGATGTCCAAGAGAGTGTTTCCTCTGAGAGCAGGTCTTTGTTGGAATATCATCCACAAAGGTAAGAAGGTGCAATCTCTTTGTTCTACAATAGCCCCTGCTCAATTGTGCAGCCCCGGCCTGCCCAAGACTGTTCTATCATAGCCCCAGCCAGGGGAAGGACACTAACCTAACTGAGAGGCTGAAGAGCCCCTCTCCCTTCTGAACATCCCCCAGCATTGTTCCATTTTCATGGAGGGTCCTACTTCCACATGATTCTCGTAAGGATGAGGGATTTTGAAACTATATGAACATCTCCAAGGAGACGAGATTCTCTGGCAAATCTCCCATCCATAGCTTTGCTTCTTGAAGTCTCAGAGTCTTGATGACTGGATCAAACATGTGACTGGCAGGACCAGCCAGCTCCACACATGTCCATCTGTGATTATTTTGCATGTCAGTTTCTCACTGGTGAAGCCCTGCCATTCTTCCCTGTATTCTAACCCTCCCTCCATTGGAACCCATTCCTGGAAGGAGCCGGAAATGTAGCCCCTGGCCATTTCTCTTGGAACATGTGCCCCTTGTCTTCCACCAGGAGTCTCAGCTCCTCCTGCCAGACTGGTGTCTGCTGGAGGAGGTGTTCCTTGTCGAACTCCCTCTTGCCCATCCAAGAGGAAGGAATTTATTTATCTCCACCTACCAAGCAGTCTGCATTCTCTCTTGGTGTCCTGGTTAGACTGGAAAGGGTTAGAGTCCTGGTGAGAAGAATTTTTCCATCATTCTTCTGCCTTATAACAGCTTTCAAATTAAAAGTACATGAAAGCTAACTGCTGTTTAAAGTTGGCTTCTCAAGTCAAAAGAAAATTTCCGTTTTGGACTTAATATTTGCTCTTTGCCATTTTCACTTGAGATGTCAGTCTAATCATTCCACTGCCTAGAATCTGAGAAAAGAAAAAGAAGTTGAAGGGTTTTTAAAAATTTCTTGACTTGTTTATTGTGGCTTTATTGTAAATATATCTCTTGGCTTGCTTTCCTCTTAGATAGCTTCCTGCCTTGTATTTGTTAATTACTCTCAGTTAACATTTACTTGGTAAAGAAAAGCATGGATAATCTAACAGCAATACTCAACACAGCAAGATAGCACAATAGTAACTGATAAATTAACTGGAATTTTCTTTGAGTTTTGTGAAAACTCTTCAAACTGTAGAGAGCAATATAATCATACAACTTGGTAAAGATGGGCTTGTACATCTGAAAATATGGACATAATGAAGACATTCAAATCCTTAAATCCCTAAGCAAGAAGAAACAATCACCACAGTACTTCCTGAATTACTGAGGAGAATTCAGGGCCTGGAACATTTATCCCCTCCCTCTTCCCCCAAGCCACCAGGCAGCTAAGAAACTAGACCATGGGGTGTGATGTATATTTTCCTAGGGCAACAGGTTTTAATAATTGAAATGTAGTGGTTCTGCAGGGGACAGGAAAATTTCCTTTACTTGTTTCTTTTTTTTTATGTGAGGATGTCATTATATATTGCTATTGTCATCCAAATTTCTTATTTGATTTCTAAAATAGATTTTTATTATTTTTAATATAGAAAAATACAACAAAAAAACATTGCCCATCATCCCATTTTAGAGGATCTCTCTTGATATTTATAAATAAAAGTAGCTGTGTCCATAACTTAAGTTTTTTTGGGTTTTTTTGTTTGTTTGTTTGTTTGGTACCAGGGATCAAACTCAGGACCTTGCACTTGCAAGGCAGGCGCGGTGCCACTGAGCTAAATCCCCAGCCCACATAACTTAAATTTTTGTTCAGAATACATGGGAGCAAAATGAAAAGCACATGCTTTCTTGGCTTTACTTGTTATGAAATGTCTGAATCCAGTCTATGAACAGCGCCCCCAGATATGTTCCTGAGAGGATAGCAGATTTAAAAGAATACTTGTGAAGAGAAATATAGAAAGTGACCAGGGTGATAATAAAAATCACCTCTGGATATTAAGAGAAAGTGGCAGGATAATTCTAATAAACACTAAAAAGCAACAATCTGTTAGGAAATCAGAAACAGCTCTCATTAGGAATATTTGAAATTATCCTGAAGACTGCAAATAATGTCTTCATCCTTTTTATGATGGGTAAATAAGTTATGAGCAAAGAATCAGCAACATACTTCTGTAAGACCAATACGCATGTCTGAAAAGTAAAATCACAAGGGATCATAGAGTCAGCTGACCATATCAGAGTAAACTAAAAGCACAATTTTTAATGATCCATTTCCTTGAGCAGTTTTATTACACTTTTATAAACATGTTATTAGCTTTGCATGATCTCTAAGATATCTTTCTGGTAATGAGCTTTAATGATACATACTAGTCAGACTTTCATATTATGATGTGGACGTATTAATCAATAGGATTTGTATCTTCCCATCATTGAGTGGTGAATGATAATGTGACTGTCAGAGTGCCTCTACTGTTCATTTAAAAGAGACCATAATATATTTCATCTCTGGCAACATTTTTTTTCACAGGCCATGAAAACCACATCTTCCAGAGCTCCCAAATCAGCATGGGATTATGACTTTTCTATTCATGATGGCATCATAGACAAGACAGCCCCAGACTTCTTAGCATTCAAGGAACATTTTAGCTTAACTTGGAGGAGCATTTTCTCTCTCTTAGAACACATTGAGAAGTTTCTCAGGGACTATGCAATACCAGAAGTCAAAATAAAAGGGAGGAATTTGGTGGCCTTCCTGCCTGAGTTTGAGCTGACGAATAAACTTACCCGAAACGATCTTCTCTCGGTATTAGAGAACCCACTTCACGTCCAGATGTTGTTAAACCTTCCAGGACAGAGGTACAGGGGCCAAGGTGGAAAGTCAGAGGCTGCCAGCAAGATCCAAGCCACGTGGAAATGCTTCAGAGCGAGAAAATTCTTCCTCACTTACCGCCAGCAGAAGTGGGCATTGGGTGTAATTGCCATCGCTTGGCTTTTACACTGCCACAAGACTCGACTGAAGAAGACCCTGAAGGAATCACGTCAGAGACACCTGGAGAATTTCCGCATCCGAGCCAAGGTGCACAAGGCTCCCAGCTGTTAAGACAGACCTCTTTTTCTAAACATTTCTTGCTTGAACGACTGCAATAAGTTGTCTCTTTATCTTTCCCTCTCCACCCACCCTCTCCCTCAGCCTCCCTTGCCTTTTACTTCTCTCAGGGTATGATGCACAAACCTCACATTTGTTTGTGCATCATATTTTAGCCCTAATCAGGAATCTGGCTTTTGTGCCTGTAAAATCTGTTGAATTTTTCTATAGAAGAAAAGTGCCTTCATGTGGACTATGGTAGTTCTGTCAGAAAATCAATGTTTTAAATGCATTACCTTTTCTTCCTATATATACCTTCTGGCACTTTAATTTGCTAGAAAAAAATCCTCTCTTGTCTACATTGCTGTCACCACTTTGTCAGAAAGTATTTAAGTTTGCAGACAGCCTTTTAATTAGTGCTCACAATTTCATTTATGTTTGCTTTCTCTTTTTTTCATTCATATTCTGTTAATTAAGTGAGCTGCCTCTAATCTTCCCCTGCCAGTAGCATCATGTAGCCACCTAATTAAATTAATTGGGGAAGATGTTTTAAGTATGTAATTAAATCAATTAATATAATTTATGCCTGGCTTAACTGTACAGTGGAAAAACAGCTGAAGTTTGACTAGATGAATCCACTACAGCTTCCTGTCACTGATCAATGCTCTTCTTGATTTTTAGCATCTGGCAGCCAACTGGAATCGCATCAGGACCTCCAGGAGGACTATTATCCATATCCCATCATTAGGTATAACACTTTTGCCTGCAAATCTATCAGCAACCTCTATTACCCACCACATTATGGCTCCTTGATTGAGTTCAAGGAAGGCCCCTTGTTTTATTCAAATTGGTCTCGGCAGGAAAATGTTCTCGACATGATGAGAGTAATAACACAGGGCCCTCGCTTGAAACGGCGTTTAATTTGGGGATTAAGCAAATAAAGTCATTATGTGGGGGCTGCTATTCAGTGGAGAGGTGATTTGCTGTAATTCGCTTTCATCTGTATGAAATGAACTAAAAAGTTGTATTTTTCCCCCTGAAATAACAGATAATGTTTTAGATCTTTTTTAATGATAGAAGAACACAAGCTTGTGTGTGTTGTTGCTGTTACGCCAATAAGCCAGGATATTGCTTGTACACTGTTTTTAATCAAATGTGCAGTCAAAATGATAAGCTACATTCTCTGAAATTATTTAGTTCTAATTACGAGCAGATGGGATGCTTTATTTGCACCTAGGGCGCCTGAGCAAAAGGAAATGCTGTGTGAACAAGAATAATTAAGAAGTTGAATAGTGTTTTTTGCGCTTAAATAATCTGCAGTTTCATGTTAATTAGCACTAATGTAATTATTTAATTACATTTATGAATTGGGGAACTTAAAAGCTGTTGTCTGAAACACAGTGGTAAAATAGGTATGCCAAAATGACATTGGGAATTTCAGAAATTTGCATCAAAAGTTCTTTTCAAACATGAGCTGCTATCAAAATGTTTGGAATTTGTTGGCTTATTTTGTTTTTTTGTTTTGTTTTGCACTTACCTAGTGTATTAAATTTTCTGGGTAGGGCCAAATTTCCTGTGCTGACTTGGTAGGATTTTGACAAACAGCAAAACCCTCTGAGTCTCCATATTACATATTGGGCCTGTAAGGCTTTTTTTTTTTTTTTTTTTTTTTAAGTGGAGTGATGCATTAAGGGACCTACTGTAATAGAATTTTGGGTTGTAATTAGTTTGTGCCCTTGTGTGAGCATCCCTTTTTGTATATTGATGTACACAAACATAACACATTTAAACAGTATTATGAAAAGAAAAAAATAGAATTGTTATATAAATATAATTACAATTATTTTTAAATCAGTAAGATATGAATAGTAACAAAAACCAAACAAACTTTGCCAGATTCTAGAGTATGTGCTCACGTCTAAGTACTTGTAGAAAAGTTAAAGAGAAGTCTTGAGTTGCACAGAGCTTTTTAGTTCTGCTTTTTATGCAGCATGGAAGAAGTCTGTTTCTTCTTAGGATATAAGTGAGCTAAGACAGTTCTGAATTTCATTCTAACTTAGGCTTTTGTCTTGGTGAGACTACTTTTGCACACGAAATTAGTTCACACAGAAATTGCACTTGTAATTGATTGCAACCAGAGAGACTAATTGCAGATCCAATTAACTGACTCAGATCCTTAGAATAAGGTGCATGAGCCTTTGCTTCTACAACTAATTGTGAACCTGATCTGATACCATGTGCAGAATTTTGTTTTGCTTTCTCAATTTTATCAAAAACTGGGGCCAGAAATGAGGCTCCTACTTTGCAATGTTAAGATGCACCAAGGTGTTAGAGACACAGTTTTCATAGACTTCTTCCCCCCTACACTCCCTCCAACTTATCCCTTCAGAAAACTCCCCTGTAATCAACCCTACAGAGAAGCCGTATACAAGAGTCTCCAAAGAGGTAAAAATCTGAAAGTGCTGATAGTGTAAACTGAGTAATAAAAAATAACTTTAAATGAAAGTAGCTTAAAATTTCAAAAGGACTTGCTAAAGTGGGAGAATAATCTAATCAAAGAAACAAGAATTAGAAAATGTTATTTTAAATTTGGTATTAAAACCAGTTTTCTTCTAGATTTCACTTACTCATTTTACATAGATGTATAATAAATATGAAGTTCTTCCCTCTTGCATTATTTTTTGTTTGTAAAAAACAAAAAAAAACTCATTTTAAAGGAAAACCATTAATTATGTATTTTTAAGAGATAAGAACAACTCAGATATTTTTCTCAATTAACCATTTAAAAAGACCAATTGCACATTTTCACAAGAGAATAATACTTGGACTTTTATCATATAAGATTTGTTTCTACATTATGTGCTTTAGGTTTATAAAATGACTGTGGGCATTAAATTGAATTGAAATAACCTGGGCAGTCATCTCATCTCTATTCTACAGATGGAAGTCTTCAACTATACTTTTGAAAAAATGATATGGAGTACCTGTCTCCTGTTTGCTGCTTTCCTGAGGAATACAGAAAGAAAATTTCAGCTAGATAGACTGTGGCTTCTTCGTCTCACTCATGCACCACAAACTTATCTACATAATTTATAAAAACAGAAGTGAATGAAAATGAAGGAAGTTTTTTCTCTAAATACACTGCAAGAAAACCAATCTCTTCAATCTAATAATTTCCTTTCCAGAGTTGAGAAGAATTCACTCATCAAAATCAGTTGGTAGCAATATCAGGCTCAGGTAGAAACTTAAAGTAAGTTGTAGCCTTGCCCCTCTTTTTCTCTTTCAATAGGAAATTTACTGTAGAATCACCCTAAAAATAATTGCACCATGCTGCTCGCCAATTGGAGCTGCACCATTTGAACCGTTAAAATGAAAGTGAGGTACTGATAACTGCATAATATATTGTATTGAAAGAATCTGGTTATTTGCCACGCAGTTCTGGACACATAGAAATAATTGTATTTGCCAAACCATGATCACGGAAAGGAGGGCCTTTCAGTGATTTTTTTTTACTAAAAACATTTATAATGTTTTTTAAATTATAGTTTGATAATATGAATGTTAAGACAATCACATATTGTGGAGTAATCTCTTTGAAAAGGGGAGTTATACAATTTGATAGACTATTATATATTTCAGGTATTATAACTACATGAAACAAATATTTTAGCTATTTTTAACCCACAGGAGAAGTGAAATGCTATTGACAAATTGTTTGAAGAAACCAAATGGTGTTATAATTTTTATAAGATGATAAAACAGTTATCCTTTCTGGAATAGATAGGCTAATCTCTTAATTGGATATTGCATATTTTTATCATTTTTATTAATGAAATATAATTATAACAAAACAATCTACCATGGTTCATAGCAAGAATAGAATACTGGAGTCTATTTTAAGCAAAATCTATCAGTCAAATAAGAAAGAACTGTAACGAAGAATCCTAATTCCTTTAGAAAAACCAGAGGTCTAAATAAAACCTACAAACTAATTCTGCTTCTAGTTTCTTTGGTCATGTTATTTCCTCCACTTTTTATTTAACCCCTTAAACTCAGTGCCATGTTAGTGCCACTTAAACTCAGTGCCACTTAAATTCAGTAGCATGTTTAAATATATTGACATTAACTGAGATGTGCCAGATATTGGGCTCTGATGCCACGAGCAGGTGTCTGAGGCTGCTGCCAACTGAGTAAACCCCAGTGATGAGTTTCCCTTTTCACTTCCATTCCTCTATTAAAATACAAGGAGGAGACATATTGAGGTTGGATTTTTTTCTTCCTCTATGTAATATCTTATTTCATTGGCAATTAATTTAATGGCTAACATTAATGTACATAGGCTTCATTTTTTTCTCTTTCTGTGCATTATTTTAGCAAATCATCCTTGGAGTTAGCACAATTAGTGGTCTCCAAAATACTCTGTTCCATTAAAACTGTGGCTACTCTTATTGTGAAGTTCATGCAAAACATTTTTTAGCTGGTCCGTACTGTAACAAAAGCCTAAAAGAAAAAATGGGGAAACTTACTTTTGTGTGCACCTGATCATATGCCAAACTGAGATAGCCCCAAATGCTCACCAGACAGTTGCTTCCTAACTGCACTCCCTTTCCCCAGGAGGTAAGAACTGTAACTCACCTCTGACTGTGAGCAGGGGCGAAGGAGAGGGCCACAAGCCAGACTGTAGATCTGAAGTCACATTTTTACTGTACCCTTATGCACTGTCACTTCTCTACTTTCTCATAGTCAACAATTCAAAGATTAGATCAGTTCTGTTCCTTCCGCCTAGTCTGGACAGACTGGAACTTTCCATGCAATCTTTGCAGTCTTCAACATATATTTTGGCAGATGTATGGAACCCATAGCTGAGCGATGGAGTTGCCACACAAGTTCCTTGGGATAGATGCACTGCCAAGATCTTCCAGACAGCCTTTCCCAGGAATATCCTGGTCTTTTTTTGATCAGGGACACTTAAACTTTCAAATTTATTTAAAGCCCAAACCAAAATTGAAACATTTTTGTATTTATCCATGTCAAACAAATTAACACTCATTCCCTGCTTAGGTCAGAGCTGGCCCAGGGGACCTGCACTATGAAAATCTCCAATTGGTCTTGAACCATCTTATGTTGTACCATAGTGCACAGAAATGCTATTAAATGGGGTATCAAGTGGTACCAGCACATGGGCCTTTCATGAAATGGATTAATATTAGGATGTGCTATAAAAATAAACTTTGTGTATGCTAAATAAAATACAACAATAATAAATTGATAATAAATAATAAATTAATAATAATATTTATAATCATTTTCATAAAAATACTAAAACATTTGCTCAGTGGATTTTTAAGCACTGTTTTCTCAAGACCACTTTACACTTATAGTGATTATTGAAGATCCTAAAAAAACATTGATTTAAGTGAATTGTATCTATTATTATTTGCTATATTGGATACCAAAACTGAGAAACTTTAAAAATATTTATTAACTAACAACTCCTTACTAATGTTACCCCCAAATAAGATATTTTTATTAAAAATGCCTATTTTCCAAAACAAAAAAATTGTAGTGAGGGGAGTGGTGGTGGCTGACAAATTTGCAAATCTCTGAATACATCCTGGTTGGATTCTGCTGTTTCTGTACTTAATCTGTCATATATGTTGTTTTGGTTGACATGTACAGAGAAAATCCAGCTCTTCAGAGATAAGTATTTGGAAAAGAGAAGGATATTTTATAGCCTCTTCAGATAACAGTGTGTATTCTTTTCTGGGTTTCATACTAAACTGAACATTGGTAATATTGTCCATTGTAATGCGGAATCTGCAAGCATATGAATAAACTTTTTGTGTTCTGTGACCTGTGAGAGAACAGATTGAAAAAGGCGGGCAACATCTTAGGATCATTTTGAAAATGGTTTTGACCTTGCAGATGCCTGAAATGGTTTCAGTACCCACCTCAGTGTCTCCAGACCACAGTTTGAGAATCACTGGCTTTTGCTACATGCAGTGCTCAACCAGCCACTGACAAAAAATGGAATACGAGAAAGTCCTCACCTTTTGAAGGTTAATCCACTTGGCCATTTGGTTTGAGAATGTTTTCAAAATTCACTAAATGTTTTTTTCTAGATCCTTATAGCAAAATTCTCTAATTCCCTTTGACAGCCTCCCCAAAACATCAATTTTATTTTAATTAAACTAGCACTGGATATAATATATAAATAACCTGGACAGGGACAGGGCTCTCTGTTGCCTTCTCTTGGTATCTGACTTTCTTGCTCTCTAGTATCTTGTACTTTCACACTTGCACAAGTGATTAAAACCAGACATAACCATAATGTGCACATCACCATTGTTTATAGCATCCCAAGATGTTGATGTGCAGTCCTTTGTGAAGTATGTCATATGTCCCCTTATATTTTTACCATTTGAAGAATGCCAAAGTTCTTTTGGTTGAACTGGAGCGATTACCTCCGTAATAATATCACTCTGGCTCAGTCTGCACCCAGTATGTTATCTTGAGGGGAGGAGGAAGAATGGCATTACTGTTACCACTATCATAATTTTATGTGTGCCACTGGGAGGATGTGATACATTGAAGATCACCCATCATGTGTTTCAAAATGGGGAAAAGACTGAGAACTATTGTCCCAGACCAATCACACTGGCATGGATAATCTACCATCTTGGGCCAGGGTAATCAGATGAATTTCAACTACTTGATAACCAGGAGCCTGTTGTTATTTAATCCTCTGCCTTGACTACATTGTAAGGAATAGGTCTTGGAAACAAGGAAAACTCAGAATCAGCCATGGTGTAATAAGCCAAGTATTCAAGAACATGTGCTCTGTGGAACAGAGGCCTGTCACAGAGGCACAAACCAGTGCCAAGGAGGCCCAGTAACTGAGAATGAGCCTTGCTCATTCTCATGGAGTTCTGTGGTTTTAGTGAAGGAAAAGACAGTGCCAACGAAGCTAGTCTTCTCTATGCAAGGAGGCAATTAGCATTACCTGATAGGTGTTGCGTGGCAGTAGGGATTGGGAAGGATGGTGAAGATAGAAGTGAAGACGGAGAAATGATTGCCAGTAACAACTGATGAAAATCTTTGGTTCTGTAAAAGACAAAAAGTAATTGAATAACTTCAGAGAGGCAGCTCTCAGGTTACCTTCTTTAATGTGATGTGGAGCTAGTAGTTATATGTTGCAACCGCTTTTCTGAGAAAAGATGGGACACTCTATCAACCAGGTATATTTTGGATATAATGAGGACAGCCATAAGGGAAAAGGCTGTATTACTCTCCAGAGTGAGAAGGAAGAAAGAGAGGCCTTTTCTGCCAGGGCTATTTTTTGTGGCTAATAAGGACCTGGAAAAATCTATAAATCCCACTTTCCATTCTTTGAGTTTAGCAGAAAGTCTCTAGATCAGAGAACCAAAAGACAGGAAGAGGGTGAGAGAATGAAAAGAACACATGGGAAAAAGAGAACATAAAAGACAGATTCTTTTTTTTTTTGGTACTGGGGATCAAACTCGGGACCTTGTGCTTGTGAGGCAGGTGCCAGCACCACTGAGCTACATCCCCGACCTAAGACAGATTCTTTTAGTGAGGCCCTCGAACAGGTTTTGTTCACCCATTGACAGCGGATTCCCCCAGTGCCTACTCTAAAGGAGCTTGTGGTCTGGTCTCAGGAGCTGGAGTGGTGCAGGGGAAAGGAGAGGCACACAGCGTAACAACAAGCAAGCAATGTGTGATGGCAAATCAGGAAAAGAGTAATGAAGGCGTACTGAAGAAATGAAGAAAAGAGTAGAGCAAGAGAATGACAGTGAAGGGAGACTAAGAACCTGCCCAGAAAAGGATTGTCAGGCATGCCTGATAGGGATGAGGACCCATTAGCTTTATGGGCTAGTTTTTTGCTTGTAGTAATAATAATTTCTCTACATGTAAATGAGGTTCCTTTTGAGAATTTCAGTCTGGCTCAGCTACATTTAGGAAGAAAATAATAATAACAGCAGCAATACTTATTAATGCATCTCATGTGCCAGGGATCTTGGCCCTCCCTCATCTTTCAGTCAGAGTTGAAAAGAGAAGCAGAGCATTGAAGAGGGGTAGTGCTCAGTGGGAGCCAGGGAAGACAGTACCTCAAACTTGGTGGGTTTAAAGCAACATTGATTTATGACTGTATAGTTCAAGAATTGAGAAGTCTGAAAAATACTAAAATCAAGGAGTCAGCAGAGATGCTTTCCCTTTGAGGCCCTCTTCTCTCATCTTTAAAGCTAGAAACATTGCAACTCTCTGTGCCTTTCTTCTGTAGTCACATCTTCTTATCTTCCAACTTTCCTGTCTCCCTCTTTCCCTTTCAAGGACCTTTATTATTAATGACATCAGGCCTGGCTAGATAATCCGGAGAATCTCCTTGTTTTAAGGTCAGCTGATTAGCAACCTTAATTTCATTCGCAACTTCACTTCTGCTGTCACATAACTGAGGATATTCACAAGTTCTGGGGATTAGAATATGGGCATCTTGGAGGGCTATTATTCTGTCTACCACAGCAAACTGGAAATTAAAGTGAGGAAAGGCCTCAAAGCTCTTTGTCCTTTCTGAAGTTCTGTAATCACACTTAGACAGTCTTCTGTTTCATGTAACTAAATTGATCACAAGAGCTAAATACGTAGTAGCTGAGCTATATCACGATGTGCAGGTTTGTATGATCTTGGACAAGAAACAAGGCACTTACCCTGATTTCTGCATGTAGAACAGGACAGGGTGAGGTTGAGCTTCTCTCAGGATTCCCTCAGTGTTCTTGGTCTGACCTCTGAAGTAACCAAGTCTTTATAGATTATATCCCAAAATGGGATGTCTTTGCCACTGGACATTTCTTCTGAACTCCTCAAAGCCACATAATGGTTGGTAGTATCCTGGTTAAGACTTTATTGTTTTTAAATGTGCTGCCAGCACTGTTGACATCTTTTCACCTGGATGGTCAACACCTGTACCTTGGGGATAAACATGAGAATAAAACTGATTCCAAATTTCTGCTCCAGTAATGTTGCGTATACTGTATTGCTTGTCATGGAATATCTATATTGCTTATCACAGAATCTGTTGGTGTGTGCTTTGGAAGTCCACATACCTCATAACATTACAATACCTTATATTTATGCAGCACTTTACAGTTTACAAAGTTTTTTCATATCTGTTATTTCACATGACCTTGACCTTCCATGTTCTGAGATTGTTAACGTGCAATTCTTTAAAATGGGTGTATTTGTAAATGGGTTAAAGTTGTCAGTCCTGCCATAATTCTGCAAAGACATTTTCATGCATCCTTGATCAGTGGTAACAGAGGTACTAAGTAATTTGTTGGAAAACTGACCTCAGGCACTTGAATGAAACACAGACTTATTCACTCACATGCTGCATTTGCAGGTACAAAGTGATCAAATATCTTTTATATTTTAAATTGGACATCATCTTAATGAGATATCTTATACTACCTTTTATCTTTACTTGAGAAAGGAAATGCATTCATGGAGTGCTCTCACCCTCTTTTCTGAATCATACTTTATTCTTTAGGCATTTTCCTTACCTTCTCATAGAATCTTTAGTTATTCACCATGCATCTTTTTTTTTTCTTTTTCTGGTACCAGGGATTGAACTCTGGACTTTGCGCTTGTGAGGCAGGCACAGAGCCACTGAGCTAAATCCTCGGCCCTTCCGCCATACATCTTTATAAACATTCATCTGAACACAGGTAGACTTTAACAAATGTAAAATCCCAAGAGTTGCAATATTACAATCACACGCAAAGACAGCATTGAAACTTTGTGTTAGCTTTCATATATGGACTGGTTCTCTAAATTATCTGAGAAAATAATTTTTCTCAAATGATTCAAAACAGCCCATTGGGCCTTCTAGTCCTTTAATTCTTAAATTCATATGCATACAGCAGAGAGGCTTTTAGATGAATCCTAACTCATTTAATTTCAAGACATCGTCTAATGTTTAAACACTGACATCAAAGCAAAGAGCCAATTATCAGAGTTCATCGGTCAGCAGCTCTGTTCCCTGAATTGCTATAGTTTTTCTTACGCTGAGGAGATCTGCATCACATCTTGAAGATGTAGTCTATAAAACCACTTCAACCACAGCAGTTGAACTTGAAACATGTGTTTGGGCTCACTAGCCACAAGGAGGCATTGAAGCATCTCTTCAAACTGTGAAAAGCACTTTTATTTTTTTTAAAAGTTGCACCTTGAGTTGCTGAATTTCATATAAGCAATTATACTGCTTGTGAGTATGCATGCCTTTTAAGTTCATGTTTAGATCTACTTTTTTTTTCTTTTAAGACATGATATAATAGCAGAAAATGTTATCGCTGTTGTTTGTTCTGTAGAAGATTTTTAGATGGTAGTAATCCATATGTGTTTTCCCGCTGCTGTTTCTAGTAGAAACGAGAACAAACTGCAGGACTTAGTACTGACAAAGCAACTGCGTTAACCTTCTTTGCCCTTTCAAGGTTAAAAGTTCTTTTGACCAGGAGTAGAAGCCTATTTCTTAGATATGACAATCCTCACAGCAGGGGTTTTATCTGAAATCTGTGTGTTGGTTTTAAATAATTCCGGGACACACCTCCAAAGGGCCACATCAGCCACACAAGTTCAAAGGCCAAAACAATGTTTTTTAACATGAGTATAATATTCTTACGTTAAATTTCAGAAAATTTTCCCGTGTTTTTGTAATCCTGACTCTCAAGAGCTTTGTTAGTATTGAAAACCACAAGCCTCTCTGTTGCAGAATATGAGACTTAGCACATTTTTCCAAATAATGCTTAATCCCTTGAGAAGCAAGGGCCACATTCTTGGGAGTTATATTGTTTCTGTGAAATGCGGCAGAGAAATTTTTTTCCTGGAAATGTGGACTGTGACATTTTGAAATTCTTATTGCCATTTTGCTATATTGACTTGCTCTTTCTGGGCTTTGACACCTTGTTTGCCTTTCAGCCTGTGCGAGAACATATTGCTGATTTCAGCACACAACAGAATATGCAGCTGGGGAGGCTGTGTGACATCTTAGGTACAGTAAATAGTTTAACACAAATGACTCTTTTTAATGTTTATCAGTGAATGTTGATACCACGTTTCTTTTTTATTTATTTATTTATCTGTACAAGGAAAAGGCTTGGATTTCTAATCTATTTTTCAGGGGCAATTGAATGTTTTAAGTAACGGATAGTGAAGTCACCTTGAATAAAAATAACATTTTAATCAATTACTTGAGCAGTTTACTAAATTCTCTTTGATATAGGTTTGATATAAGGATTCCTCTCCCTTACACCAAAATCTTCTTTATTTATTGAATCCTTGCAATGACTGAGGTCAAAGTTTTATATTGGTGTCAATATTGTCTGATATATGGGCAATGAATGGAAAGTAGTATAAGAAATGAAGCAGTGTCTTTTCACTGTAAGAATACTAGTGAACCAAGATATAATTTTTAAAGATGCTGTTCTATAAATATAAAGCACCTAGTTAGTAGAAAACATGAAGTGCCTAGTGGAGGAAATTCTTAGGAATACAGAATTTGAGTGAGTGATGGAAACATCTTTGTAAGTTTGGCTGTGGTACTAGTTTGGGCACTTCTCAGTCTGTCACTAATCTGGGTCCAGAAGAGGAAGATATATGAAGATGGTGCCTGTGGCTGACACTGTTCAAGGCCAAGGTTCAAGTTAGACTTAAACAAATAGATTGTAAAGCCTAAGAAATAACATTGAGTCAGTTTGCGAAAAACTGGTGAAATACTCGGATTAAACAAAACTTAGATTTTTATTAGTTACCAAGTACAAACTCCTTCATTTTGTTAAAATATAATTGCTTTGGCACTTATTTAAGTAAAACAAGGGAGAATTTTAAATTATCAATGACCAGCTTAACTGGCTCCCTGGAATGACGCACTTTACATGATTTATATATATTTCAGCATCATTATTATTTTATAAATGCCATTTGGTAACAAAAATATCACAGTACTAGAAACTTACAGAGTCCTAAAATAATAATAGTATAATTGCTTTAATCTATTATCTAGGCACTAATACTGTTTTTTGGCATTACAGAAAAAGAATTTAATGACTTGAGATTGATTTGTTAGTGCTGAGCTATTTCAACTAAAAACCTGACTGGATAAAAACCACTGAAGTGCAGCAGAGGGCAGACTTTGCTCTAATTTATTTGAGTTAATTTTTTTCTTCAGCTTTTTATATACCCTTCTATATACAGAACAAACCATCACCAAAGAATTTCTTTATAAACAGTTCTCATTGCTGGAAAAACGTTGAAATTATTTGGCTTCTATTTTAAATAATCCAATAATTCAGTCCGTGTCCATCTGCAGTGGCAACTTCAGCTAATATGGACATTTCTGAGAGATTATACCTTTTCTTGGTACACTATCCTCATAAGATTACAGTGCAATCAAATAACTTCTCCAAGAGGAGTAAAGTTTGGAAGTAGTAAATGGAAGGAAAGTATTTTTTATGAGATAAAAAATATGAGGAAACTAGAAAAATTAGGAATAATTGGTGGAAGAATAAATATCCATTTTAGTCTATTAATTGCTAGTAAAAGGTGTTATTTTCCTGCTTATTCAGGGGAAACAAAGATAATCTGATCAGACTGGTAAGATTTATCATTTCATATTGACGATGAAGTCAGGATTGTCAGGTATAGATTCAGATGAATAGTATTTTCAATTCCTAGATGAATTAAAAGTAACTGATTTTGACTACTTCTTAGTAATCAAAGCAGTTTTATTTTTATATCAGCTCCTTTCCATAATCACCCAATTAATTTTGCACATGTGTAGACTCATGATGAAAGCACACTAGTACTGGATATCAGAGTCACACTAATACTGGAGTACTGGAGGTGTGTTCCTTTTCTGGAAATGAATAGGAGGCAAGAAAGGTGAAATTAGCACTACGATTCCTTACCATTTGTTACCTAGGAATTTCTTTCCAAGAAAAGTTTACTTTTATTCTGCTACAGAGCTATTTAGCTATTTTTCTTGTTTGTTTGTGTGTGCCCATCCCCCACTTTTTTTTACACTTTTCTTTTTTTAAAAAATTACTAGTTTGGTTTTTAAACCTGCTACTTTGATATTAATTTTGTCTTCAAATCACAAGACCTGGGATAACCAATTTGATCATTCAGCATCTGATATGTTATTTCCTTACTATCTCATCAGTTAATTTACTTGACATTTAGATGATAATTTAATTTCAAAATTAAATGCAATATTTACACATGTGGCGTAGCTACTCTGAGCCCCATGCTGGGCCGGTTCAGGTTACCTCCAGGTCTCCTTGGGCAGGGATTTCTCCTGCACACCATGACTCTCTCCCACTAAACACATAAGACTTTCTACTTCTCAAATCTCTCCAGTCTCCAAAATCCCTCAGTCAACCCACAAGTATTTATGGAGCAACTCCTGTGTGCTCTGTACTATACCTGGGATTGGGGAAATAGAGTAAAGGGTATAAACTTTGAATCTGAAGATCTTGCGGAGATGAATAGCTTGGAACAACACAGGACACTGCTCCATTGTGTTAAATCTGATCACAAGGAGCACAGGAATGGTACACAGGCTGGGAGTCGCTGCTGGCTCAGCTGGTCAGGGTGGGCCATGGAGAATATTCAGGTACCTGGGCCATTTGTTGAGCATTTACTATGTGCCAGGTATTGCACAAGTGCTTTACATATATTCTTTCATTGTAATACTCTCTAAAACTCTATACCCCAGGTGATTTTATTCCCATTTTTACAAACGAAGAAGACAAAGCTTAACAAGTTAAATAATATGTAATACGCCCAGGGCCCAAGGCAACTGGACTAGAATTAAGTCAGTGCTCTATGTACTCAGCCAAACCGCAACAGAGGAGCCTTAGAATCTCCTTTTGGCCCACCTTGCCCATGGAAACTATGTTAGTCACTTTTCTGGTGCTGGGACAAAACACCTGACAAGCACAATTTAAAGGAGAAAAGGATCATTTGAGCTCATGGTTTCAGAAGTGTCAGTCCATGGTCAGCTGACTAAGGCAGAAACATCATTGCAGAAGGATGTGGTGGAAAAAAGCCCCACCTCATGGCAGCCAGGAAGCAGGGAGAGAGGAAGAGGCCAGAGACAAGAATATACCCTTCCAGGTTTCTCTGGTGATGACCTACTTCCTCCATTCAGATACAAAGTCATCACTGGGCCAGTCCATTGAGGTTAGTGCCCTTATACTACTATCCTCTTCCAAAGCCCCACCTCTGAACACGAGACTCTTGGAGGGCATTCTAAACCATACCAGAGACATTTTCAGTGTTCCCTCTGAAATTCCCAAAGTACCTGTTTGCGTGTTTCCTTGTGCTACTTCTCTCCACTGTGTTTTACAGTGTTTGTGCCTGTGAAATGGTTGCTCCTCAAGGGCAGTGTCTCGGCCACTCTACTTACTGGATTTCTCTCCATGTTTAGCCAAGTGTTTTTCCCATTTGTATTTATATCAGTTGGCTATTTTATGAATAAATAATTCCATTGGCTGCTAATTTCGCATCCGTACTCTAAAATGTTCTGCAGCATGGATTGAGTAATCTTATCTCACTATTCCATTTGGATGGGATATTTAATTAGGATTTCTTTCTATGTGCATAATAAGAAGCACATCTTAAGAAAGGGAATAGTGAAGTTAAGACTGTTTCCTTTAGACCAAGAATCACTAGATGTGCTATTTAAGTAGTATACTCCTCTTTGGGAATGGAGCACGGAAAACATTGGTTTCCTCAAATAATTATTGCTATGGTCATAATCAGACCATTTATTTGGACAGGACATTCCTTGAATTGGCCCCGTCAAGTCCAAGCAGAATAAGAAATTGCAATTTCATCAGCTTTCTAAAGTTAATAGCTTTGTTTTATAATTTGCTGAAGTTAATGGGATAAATTCCCATTGATGTTAATGGGAGTTGTGTGGCTAAATCCCCATGTATTATTTGAAAGTACAGTTTCATGCTACCTCATAATGCTCTTTCTGAAGGAATCATTGCATGTATTTTGTTGTTGGTTTATCTTGTCATAAGAGAAATGCTAAAGTGAAAAAAAGCTGGTTAGACTGCTAAGATGTGTGCAAAACCAAGCTAAATTAACTTCACCGTGGCTTTTGGATATACTCTTTAGTTTAAACTGCACAATATCAATTGGATGCCAGAGTTCATAGTGTCATTTACCTTTATACCAGTAATTAACATTGTGCCTGTTGTGTTCTAGATGACAATGTGAACATCATCTACATCTGTTCCCATAATATGAATGACGAATTAATGCTATATTACAATAAAATCCTGAGTCTACATGCAGCTGTCAAATCAGGGAACCTTGAGGACAAAAGTGACCTGCAGCATAGGTTCAAAATTATCACCCCTGAAGCTGTAAACATCTTCACTATGAGTTTGTCTTCTAATTACCACGGCTTCAGGGATGCAGTAAAATTAAATTGGAAATTTTATAACTTGCAATGCTCTGGTACACATCAGTGAAATATTATTGCAAGCTTAACAGCTTTACTGATTAGACTACTAGTTGGACTGCAGGAAATAAATATCCCAGTTTAACTTTCAGACTAGTTTAGCTACCCCTGCCCAGTTTCTCTGTAGCTGAAGCCTAATTGCAGTTATGAGATGGTACCATCAAGTAGGTGAATTTATAACATCTACCATCCCTTTTCTTAATTTGGTGTGGAGGACATCAAGGCACAGAAAGATTGGTCACAAAGCTACTTAGGGACAGAATCTAGACCAGGACCCCTACTTTCTGACTTCCACACAGGAATTTCTTGTTTCTCTACAGTTTTTTTCTTCGGGGGAAGATGGCCTGACTTACCATGTCACATGGTTCATAATGAGCAAGGTTCCAACATTTCCTTTAATGACTGAATGAATTTTGAATAGACTCCCATCCCTAGTCAACAGCCTTTGGAAAATTCATGGAACCACAATGGCAGTGTTCTAGGCAAAGGCTGAACAACAGATGGCTTGAAATGAATTGCTCTACATTTTAGTAAGAATTTAAACTTTCCTCGTTAAACAAACATTTTAATACCTAGTGGACTATCCAATTTTGAGGAGACATTTCGTATAATTAAAGATCAAATTTGCTTATAAAGATAGCTCCTTCTGCTTCTTACCAAGGTACACCAGCCAGCTGTCTACATATTACCAGAGAAAATGGCTGCATGCTTTACATAGGAAGTATCTGAGTGCTCAGTTAGTACCTATTAACACTTAGATCCACCTCTAAATGCACAGTTTGACAAACTAAAAAGGGAGAGAGGTGGAACCTGAGAAAGTTCTGCCAAAGCTTCGAAAGACTGATACAGCATCTCTGCCTTGCTGGGGTACCCAGTGAGTTGTCTCTACTATCAAGATGAAGAGTCATAGTGGACACCTCAATATCCTCCTTCCCAAAGCTCTCTGCTCAGTTCTATTTCATTGGCAGCCTTATTTGTGGAAGAGGAAGGCAAGGGAGGCACAGTAAGAGAAAGGACAGGGGACAAATCATTGCCACTCATGGTCTTAGGAACATTCAATATCCTCCACCAATACAAGGACTTTTTTTTTTTTTGGTGCTTCCTAGCTGTACCCTGACCTTAATGGTATAGTCATTGTAGACATTAGGAAGCAAGGAAGGAAAAGATCTATCATTAGTGTTTAGTTAAATTCCTGACTTTCTTGAGCCAGAGGCTCAAGTTAACCAATGCCTACTAGCTGCCAATATGGATTTTTTTTCTGAAATGTCCATATGCAGTGAAGAGGCATGGAGTGGAAAGGGGATTTGTGAGGAAGGAAGTGAGTAAATTTATCAAATTCTTAACATATATTTCTCACTTGATCATCAGAACAATGAAAGACAGAAATTATCACTCTCCTTTTATGTCTGTAGAAACTAAGATTCATTTTCTAGTCCAAGGTTCTCAGTAGGGCCAGAGTATGAACCAAATTCTGGCTACTCCAGAACACTGTAATGAACTATGCAGTAGCCTTGGCAAGCCCCTTTACCTTTCTGGTCTTCTCTTCTTCATCTATAAAATGAGGAGATGGATTAGATAACTCCAAAGTCTTCTCCAATTCTATAATCCTACCGCCTGAGATATTTACCCTTGCGTTATACCCTTTGACTTCCAAGCAAGAGAGAGGCAGCTCTCTCCCACACACCGAGGTGCAGGCAGTGTGTAGGTTTGCTTCTTGGAGAGCAGAGACAAAGAGGCAAGGTTTTGAATACTTACTTCTCATAGCTTAAATTCAAATTATCTGAGTAATTAATCACTCATAAGCAATCAACTTTTTAAAATACAAAAATTAAACTCAATTTCAAATCAGTTTCTGCTCATATTTAGCTATTGCTTTATTTCTTTTTAATGGGTTTGAGAGATTGTATCAGTGCTGATATCATTCAAATGGGTGGCCTTGAGGAGATTTTGAAAAGCATGCCAAAAATCTGTTTGTACATCTCCCCAAGTTGCTATACAGTGCTTGAATTGGTAATGGTAAAATGTGCTCTTACCAAAGTCATTGTGTCTATTTTTGGATAATTTTGAAATTAGGAAGACATTCTAAACAACTACTGTTTGTCTCAGGCCAAAAAAAAATATGGATAAATTAAATGTAGCCATAACACAAGGCAATGAAGAACATTTTAGATTTTTGTCATCAATGTTAATCTTCTGCCAGGATCTGATGATACCGATTTTCTCTAAATGATCACACAAGACCTGTGCTCTGTAATGTGTCCCCTGCCATCACTCACTCACACGTAAATCTTTATTAAATACATTTAACACAATGCTATGGTACTATGTTGCCTGAAGAACAAGGCATGACCATAGATGACTATAATATGGAGCTGGGGAAAATACTTCCCAAAAGAAATATGCACCTAGAGGAGACAGGAATCTATCCTGGCTGAAAATGTGATCCAAACTGTAGCATGAGTTTCTATTGCTGCATCTGCTATCTATGCCACAGCTCATTAGCCCACCATCGCCAGACCGTCACTGCCCACTCTACAAGATAGGGCCATTGTGGTACAATGGTATATCAATTGGGCTAAGTGGGTTGGGATGCTGCCTCTGCTGTTCACTAGCTATGTGACTTTGGGCAAGTCACTTGAGCCTCAATGTCTTTGTCTCTAAAACAGGGACTGCTAATGGATATCCAGTTTCATGGGTTAAATGAGAGAACATGTGACTAAGGCTTTGACCTTGTTAGCTTACCAGGAGAGGATGGAATACTCTTCTAAAGGCCTTGAAAAGCCCACCATAGACATAGTAACTCAAGTCAGCAGTTTCCCTGGACAGATACTTTTCTTTTACATTTCCTCATTGGAACAATTTGTAGGGGAAGGAAAGCAATGAAATAAACAAGGAGGAAAAGCAGTGACCAGCTAGATGGGAAACAGATCCACCAGTTGGAGTCAGTAGCCATTGACTAATGAAACACTGAGTTTCTTAGAACTGGGGTCTCAGAGTACCTTTTAAAAATGAATTTGAATTTGGGTAGAAAATGCATATTGCATAGATTTAAGGAGCTTAGAATAAAAGTCCAAGTCTGGGAGAAGAGCTTAATAGGAAAGCCATATAAATCTTCTCAGAGAAGTTCTATTTTTGCCATTTCTATTGTGGTAAAATATATATAACAAAATTTGCTATTTTAACCATTTTTAAGCATACAGTTTAGTGACATTAAGTACATTCATATTGTTGTGCAACTATCCACTTCCAGAACTTTCCATCATCACCAAAAGGAACCCTGCACCCACTAATCAGTAAGTATGGAAGAGCTCTTGTTTGAGAGGGGAAGTTGTGTCAGAGCTGGAAGGACCCTAGAGCCCTCTAGTGCACCCCCTCACTTGGATACTGGCATCTGAGTGTCCTAAATCATCCAGCAAATTATACATTCAAGCAGGACTGAATTCAGGGGCATCTTCCCAGTCCAGTTCTCTTTCTTCCACACTTATAAGTTATACTGTTCAGCAGTTTGCACATTGGTGCCTTGGATATTCCTGAAAATAGTCACTCAGCATTTCTCCACATTTTTATGCTAAGATGAGTAGATAATTTTTTACTAAAATTGGAAGTAGGTGCTAGTCTATGAAACCTCTGGAATTCCCCTAAAAGTCTGGTACCTTTACATTATATTATTTGCATGACATTTTAATGGTTTTATTTTTTAAAGAGTGCTTTCCTTGTAAAAAATAATTACTACAATTTATTGACCACTGACCCAATGTCAGGCATTACATTAGGTATTTTATATTTCTGATCTTATTTTAGCCTTTAAAGCAACTCAGGATATGGGTATTTTGACTCTCATTTAACATATAAAGAAATGGGTTCATGGAGTCTCATTTGGCCCAAGTCATGTAGCTTATAAGTGACAGGTATATTTCAAAGCCAGGTGTTGGACTCCAAAACCCTAGCACTTTCCCATGTAATACTTTCTTCTCAAGAAGAAGTAAGCACAGTCTTGGTACTAGTATTGCCTTCTCCGGTAATGTCTCTCCCACGCCCATCTTCACCTGATAAAATCTTACTCATACTTCAAAATTCACCTCACCTCTAATCTCTGTCAAGATAATAATACAAGCTAACATTCAATTAGGCACTTATTATATCCCAGACAGTATTATAAGTGCTTTACATACATTATCCCATTTAACACTCACAACATCCCTATGATACAGGTACTATATTCTTTTTATAGATGAGAAAATTGGGGTATAAGGAGAATGGATAACTTGTCTTTTCAGCTCCAACATATGGCCTCCGCCTCTCTCTTCCATACCTCTGAAGCACTCTGTAGCTCCCTATGGCCTTATCAATCTTTCCTTAGTTCCGTGTTAACTGTTTGTATTTGTGTCCCCACTCCCTGAAAGCAGAACCCTGGTTGTATTATTTTGGTGTGTGCTGACCATCCAATCCAGCACTGTCTTTTGCTTCATTAGACTTGGGCAGAGTAACTTACTTAATTGAATGAGATAAGCACATGCATCGCTATGTTGGGTCTAACTAATCAAAACAAAATAGAAAGAGCTGTCACCAGAAAAGGAATTTGAGTCTTGCTGAAATTTTCAAGTATTTTTTTCTTTGTGAATCCTTTCCAGAATTGTTGGCTAGAACAATTGACAATCGCTGCAAAAGTGAAACTGATTTTGTGGTAGAATTCTGGAAAGAGAATGTCAAGTCAAGTGCCTTTTTCCTACTGAAGCACTTCAAGAGTTGCCAGATTATGAGTCTGTACAGTGAAGAATACTATGAAGCTTTTTCCTTCATTTTTTTGTATTGATTTTCCAGACGCTTTAGTGTTAAACCATGCCAGAAGTGTTGCAGAGATGAATCACTATTATCCAAAGGCCGCCAGCCTCTTTTCCTTCTGACAGAAGGATAATTCCACATGGATCAAATAAATACAGATGTGTAGTAATTAGTTCTATTCCCAGTGAGCCTATTTCCAACACACTAAAGATGTGAGCGATTATGGAACCTCACCCCAACAGCTTTTATCAATTTAAACTGCTAAACAACAGGATAGGTCATAACCCAGTCTGCTATTAATAATGTATTTATTATGTGCAGCATTATAAATTAGGTGCCTGGACTAGGAAAAGCACACCTTTTAACAAGAATAATGTGCTCTTTCCCCAGACCCATCATATGTGCCTAGCCACTCACCTGCTGTACAGTCCCAAGGCAATCAAAAGAATAAAAAATCTCATCCAAGGCACAGAGGCCTACATTATGGGCGGACTCCTCCACAGAGATGATCTGGCTGTGGCTGATATGTTACATGTTCCCATCCTGGGCTCGGAGCCTGAACTGGTTCATCTTTACAGTGCCAAGTCTGGAAGTAAACGGGTCTTCAACAGCGCCAATGTACCAACCCCTCCTGGAATATATGACATCTATAGTTATCAACAGGTATGTGCGGTGGGCATACCAGGCTCTATGCAAATATTTCAATCCTCTTGACTTTGGACAACTTCGGGTGATCTGGAGCAGGCCTACCCAATGAAGATTATGTGAATATTGTGTTGATTCACATTAGGCCTTCATGTTTTGAGGTTTCCTATTCAGTCTTGCAAAAATTGCTGGAATTTCCAAAATATTTACTCATTTGGATAAAGACATAGAAGATTTTGTTGAAATGACTTTTCATTTGGACTAAACTGCCATCAATATTTAATGCTTTAACACAGATCAGTTAATTATCACATCAGCCAACCAGTAGGACCCTAAGAAACATGAGTCAATTTTGGCTAAAAGAAGCAAGTTTGGAAAGCTCCAGACAATAAGCCCCTCTGCCAGGTCAAAATGCAGAGGGCTACAGACACCCTTGGCTCTGTAAAACATACGTTGGCTTCTCAGGAAGGGCCCTAAAGGGAGGAGGGGAAAGAATCCAGAAAGGGGAGTGAAATAACTCCAGGAATAAAACTGCTTCTGGTTTTGCCTTGGGCCAAGTCTGTGGTTCTGCATTCTTCCTGCAGATAGTTAGGGCCCGAAATATTTGGAGAAATACATTAGCCACTAGAAATGTTTTTTCTTTGAGTTAGCTCTGGCAGGTGTTCTCTCATTTAACTGCCATCTGTTTCCATAATAAAGAAAATTAAAAGACAAATGGCTGTTAGCATTTCCTAACCTCTGTTTCAGTGCCTCTCTTGACCATTACTGTGAGCCAGTTCACAAATTATTCCCCCTACCCACTTCTTGAGAAGCTAAGGAACCATAAACACGGGGGCCAGGGATTTAGGTCAGTGGTTTCACTGCCTGCTGTGCAAGCACAAGGACCCAAGTTTGATTCCTGGTACCAAAAAAAAAAAAAAAAGCCTTCTATACACACAGAACATTTATGGGGGACAGTACTGGGAATCCCCTTCTCTCACTGCCTGGCTGTGGTAGCCATTGAGCCCCCAAATCAAGCCTTTCAAGAAATCATACTTTGCAGAGACTAGTTTGAAGATAACTATGAGTTTATTAAATTGCCCTAACATGTTTCAGTCTTACTGAGTGTTCTTGGCAATACAGGGACTCATGAGGGAAGCAGAGTCTGGGAAAGGCACAAGCAATTTTAGTAGAGTGGGGTGGAGAGGCTCCCCCTGAGCTGTGTGTCACACCATTGTCATTAACCTCCACTGAAATTTGAAGATGATAAAGCTTGACTCTGCTTCCCAGTAGAATTTTTCTCTGGTAGAGTTAATACAACCCAATATACTTTTAAATGACAGAATTTCACACATGCACATTACATTAAACAACCTTCAAGACTTTAAAATCTATGTGCCATATTTATATTGAGTCTTGGTTTCATCTTCACTGATGACAACTCAGGCAATCTTTGCTCTGAAATGTTTTAGAACTCGATGTGTTAATTGTGGTTAAAGACGTAGACACATTTAATGAGTTAAACCTCCATCTAGTGCTAGTTTTCAGAAGTAAAGCTAAAAACCTCCTCATAGACACATCAGATTTGAGGAACGTTATTTAACCACTGGTATGTACAATTTGTATAATAAGCCAAGTGGAACTGAGTTCTACTCTACTTGTTTGAAAAATGTACATCTGGGGTCACCAAGAATTGAAGTATTTCACTGAGATCTTTCCTAACCCTAATCCTAAGTGCCTACCCTACCCAATTGAACTGAGTGTAGCAGTATTTTGAATCTGCAGTTGGTGATGGATCAGTAGCACTGACTTTTTACCAATGTGCACCGTAAACTTAAAGCTGGTAAAAGAAAGCTATGATTATTTTAACTTAGGTTAATAAGGATTCCTGAGTATTAGCTGGATTTTTCCAATAGTCATTTTTCTGCTCTTTATCAGTATAAAATGAATCACAACTAAAAAATATTACATATTTTGAACAGATAAGCTCAAACAAAATGACAAATATTTGGGAATAGCACAGAGTCATTTGGTTTATGATTAACTTTTTTTTTCTAATATGATCCCAGTGAGCACTTCGTGTTTTGACCTATTAAGTAACCGTGCAAGTCCCCTTTCTGGCATATGCTCCTTTGTGAAATATTGACGGCTTTGGTTAAATAATCAAAAATGGCAATGCTATTTTAAAGCACTGTTCAATTTTCACTTAAAGATAGCACATAATTCTTTCCAGTGGCGCAGTCTTTACAATACTATCGATCGTTTCATTACTGTAGGGGATCCATCAACAGACACCCATTTATAGGATTCTTAGAAGCAACAAATAATAGGATTTGGAAGAAACATGATAATTCTGTTAGTAGTTGCAACCTCCAGTATACAATATAACCAAATATACAATAAAAAGGTTCTGCCAGAACACCTTTCCTTAGGGTGGCAAAAGAATTTGATCTGCTGTTAGTTAGCAGGCCAAAGACCATTCTATTTCTGCAAAGTGTGATCACAATACATATAGCAAAATATGCTCGTAGGATCTGTCTTCTCAACACATTAGACAAAGAAGGGATACAGCTTTGAAAGACACATTAAAAAGCCTTCATAGGCTGTGTTCATGTAATGTGTGGACTTGGCATTCAAACATCCAAATTATCTGTAGACACCACTTGATAATTAAGGAATTAGTGCAATTCTATTTTCATCCTAAATGAATGCTCCAAGCAGCATGAGGTTTCTGGGGACCCCAAGTGTGGCCATTTTGGTATTTTTTCCACACTGCCATGTCATGTGGCATCCTGGAAACATTGGCTGGGCATAACAATTTAAGGGAACAGATTTAAAGTTATTTTAATTTTATAGCTCCAGATTTCTACAGACCATAAATCTTGAATCTTTTCACAGTCTTTAGTTTTAAAAAAATTGAAAATCTATTTGGTGGGTCAAGAGAAGTCATCAAAGGAGAAGAGAATAATGTTTTGTTGCTTTCTGGGGAGTACAGACTAGAAAGTCTGATGAGAAGACAAGACTAAAAAAACTATTTTGTGATCTAATGGCTACTATTCAAGTTTCTTTCCAAGGCTTTATTAGTAATCTTGCTATATTCTCTCACTATAGACTTTTGTCTGATTCAAATGCACCTCACATGGCTTACTGGCTGTAAGCCAAGCTGCTTTTCTCATTCCTCCTCTGGCTTCTTGCTCACTTTACCTTCTTGCCCAGCTCTTTCAGGCTGAGATAAGCAGCTCTGTAGAGAGGGGTTAGAGTCAGAGCCACCTGAGAACAACCTGGGAAGGACCCTGCTCTGTCACTCAATGCAGTAATATCATGGGCAAGTTATAGAAGTTAGCCTGCCTGGATGTACATATTAAATGTAACTAACAATGGTGCCTGCCTCATAACCTACTGTGTTAAATGAGAAAATTCCTGTAAAGAACTTATATGAGTGGAAGGCCTGGGTCTAGTGAGAGTTTGGTAATACTAGATATAGCATTATTGTTATCATCATCATCATCATCATCATTATTTTGATTTAAAGCTTAGAATTCTATCCTATTCCTTAAACTTCCATGTATTGGTGCTCATTGTGAAGCATTCCGGAGGGAATGCTTCAAATAAAGTGTAAGATGGGTGTGTATATCCCAGGAAGGTTGCTTCCATGAGTGTTTTATGTCCTTTATCTGCCTTGCCCTGTAATACACTTGTTTATAGCATGCATGTAATAAACTGGCCAACTGACCAGTCACACAAATGTATTTCATGTGCATTAATGAGGGGAAAATTAAATGTTTTATAGATTATAACATTTAAAAGCTCAACAAAGCTCAAAACAGTCAAAGTTTTCAAGGCTATAACTCTTTATAGTCTTGAAACTATAAAAAAGCAATTGAGGAATCAATAACTCTCTGAGAAAGAAAGAAACAATGCCAAGATTCAATTACAGATATTTAAGCATTCTTTCTTTTGCCTTCAAAAGCTAGCAAAATGATACTTCTGGAATTTGTCATAAATAAGATTGTACTTTTAAATATATCTTTGGTCTAATTAGTTACTGGTTTCTTCACATCATATACATCACTTAAAACTTCTTTAACCTGCCTTAATAAGTGGAAGAGAACCAAACAAAGAAGCTATGTGAGGTAAAGAAGTACCACAACCAAGACACTGAGGTGGAGAGGAAGTGCACTCTGGTAAACGTTGCTCTGTCTTCTCCCCACAGATGATAGAACAACTGAGCCAGGCAGTGACTGATCACCTGCAGATCCAGCGCTGGCTCTTTAAAATGGACTTGGAGTTCGGAGGAAACGGGACTGCATTTTGTGACATTCCTTCACACCTACAGTGCTACAAGTCAGTGCTAAAGGAGAGTAACAGATATAGCTGTGAAGACTGGAGAAAGAAGTGGGCACATGTGAGTGTTCAATGGTGATTTAAACCAACATCTGTGAATGGTTAGGAGGTGCAGCAAAGGGCTCAGTTAGAAGACCATTCAACCCTGTCACCAACAGTACTGGCTTTCTTGAGCCCCAGATCTTATATACCAAATGAATGGGCTTCATTAGCTTATTGTAAATGTCCCTTCTTGGCCCCTACAAGTCTTCATTCACATCTTCAAATCAATTATAATAATTACAAAGTGATTTTTTAAAAAATCATTTTCAGATAGCATTACAAATCTCATCATTTGTCCTAAGCGGGTCTCGATCACGTGCTTCTAACAAGTGTTGTTATTAAGCCGGCTGTATTTTATTACAAGATAGAAATTCTATTAGCAAATGGTTGTCACCTGGAAAAGCTAATGTATAATAGCATTCTGTCAGCAGTCCCATTTTTTTTTTTGTTTTTTTGGTACCGGGGATCGAACTCAGATCCTTGTGCTTGTGAGGCAGGCGCTGGAACCACTAAGCTAAATCCCCGGCCCCAGTCCCATGTTTTTTAAAACAATCCAAGGAAATTTATATAACTGCTGTTCCCCGAGAGATGCTAAGTAAATAGTACACACCCAGCAGAAAGTCTCCCAGCAAAAGCTTAACAGTAGGTAAGAGATCTTAAGATGTGAGTTCATGCATGTTTGTGAGATGAATTGTACAACCTCGCAGTCTGTTCCAAATTTACTTAATAATTTTATATGCCCTAATATCTATGTTATATTGGTCCCATTTTTGCATCCAGAGATGTAGGCTTCTTGTAATCCCACATCTCTGTTTTAGCTGACCTACTGGCTGAAGCATAACTGATTAGAAACCTTGAGACACAAATTCCCTCAGCTAGTTCCTTCCCTACCGGCACAGGCACACGTAGGGGTGGGCTGTGCAAAGTGATTTGCATCTGCTTTGAGCATCCCATGACAGAAGTGTATGAATCAAGACTCAAGTGATAGGAGGGGAGGGGCACACAAGAGGGAACCACATTATTCTTGGGAAAGTGAAATGATGAATAAATCTGGAGAACAGTCAGGAGAGAGAGTTCCCTTTGACAAATGTGACAGTTCTCCCCATGAGCTATTCTGGGCTTTTCTCCTCCTCCAACAGTGAGTGGACAAAATGCAGTACCTGTCATGACCAGCTTTTTTACATATTATTTAAAGGATACCAAAGTGAATTACTCTTCTAGAAAAAACAAAACAAAACAAGGAAAATGTATTTAATTTTGAGGCCCAGAGAGGTTTCTCTTATGTTCTCTTTGAACTGGATTTTATATCATATTGTATGGAATTTTCTTTTAAAGTAAAACTGTTAAGATTGAACTATGAAAAAGTATGACTTCCTTACCTAAAAAACTGAAACACTAGTGTGTAAAATATTTGCTGGCTTCAGTATTTCAACCAATAATTTTTAAAGCATTCTTCTAACACTAGACTATGGTAAATTTGAAATATTTGACTTTAAGTTTAAAAAATACAAGACTGACATTTGGCTGAATTATATTTACTGTAGATGCCTCAGTGTACATTATTTAATTTCAAATATTTTAAGCGATCCCATTTAAATTGTCATCAAATATATTTGGCATTGTTAATGTTATTAAATGTGAAACTTAAATAATTAATCATCTATCTAAATCATTTTTAACAAGAGAAAATAATTATTCAGACATGTTTTTACAATCTGAGGCCTGTGCTTAGCCACGATGCAGTGAGAAGTCAAACTTGAAAATAAAAATAAAGCAGTTCTGAAAAGCAGGTTTTATTTTTTCTTTTTATAAGAAACTATTGACATTCCTTTTTGCCTTCAAAGTGAAATCATATTTGGTGTAGAGGTAAACTACAGTCTCCACTGAGTGCAGCTATTGAGAATTTAGGATTAATATTCTTCTTTGTTCCAGAAGATCATTGTAATGGTGCACATTTAGACATCAAAGCATTACTTTATGAGCACAGACATGTTTTAATGTCCTATTACAGTTTGTAGACCTGTTTCTTTTGATAATGAAGATGTTGTGTCATCAAGCCTAGCCTGGCACATACAAAACATATGCTGGCAGGTTATTAAAAATTTCAGCTTCTTGATGAAAGACTATCCTGCAGGCTAAGAGTCCAGAGAAAGACTCCATTCTGGGAGAATTATTAGAAATGAGACTATGACTGTAAGCACTAAATTATGTTAATACTTACAAATAGCATCATTTGCATAGCAGTTTATGACACGATACCATGATTTTTCTCATTGGTATGTTGTAGGCAACAGATTAAAAATAGTGCTGTTTATGGGAGTTGGAGCTGTTTTGAGATTCTCTTGCATCTTATGAGTTATAGTTTTAGGGGTAGACAGGATTCATTGTAGATTCAGGTATGTATATTAAAGAATCTCTGTCTCTCTCTTCCTCTCTCTCTCTCTCTCTCTCTTTCCTACTTTCAAGCCAGAGTTAATTTGCTGGTTGCAGTTGAGACTTGAAACAGTCATAGAGTCAAAAAATGCTGAAGAGCCATAGTTACATTTAGAAGATCAGTATAGACATGTAAGCAATTTTGGAAAAGCAGAATGTTGCATGATAGCTACAATGAATATACATAGCTCTTTCATTTTTTCTTGGTGGCTTGGTACCAAGTCTACTCTTTTCCTCCTATCAGCTAACAAAACTTACTCCTTGCCAACTGAAACAGGTCCCTGTGAGCTCATTCACTTAAGTGCTCAGAGCTTGTTAAGGTTTGGTGAATCCATACACTTTCACCCACTCCAAATGCCCCACTTCCCAGTTGGGGGCATCTGTTTTCATTTAAAGGCTTGAACATAGGAAGGCACACTTGTGGGGAGAAGCCGTCCTCAGCACAGTCTCCCAAGACAGGCATGTTATTGTACTATCACTCCTTCCTGTAGCTTTTATCTTTTCCATTTTTCTTTTAAAGGGTAAATCTCCCCTCTCTCAATTCCTAGGACACTGGCTTTGCGGCAGTGAGCTGCCTGGTGGTGATGCTGCTCTGCAGAAGCTCTTTGTGGAGCAGCTTCGCCCGTGGAAAGAGCTACGCCATTTATGTCCAGGTTTCTCTGTGCTGGACTTTTTTTGGCGTCTGTTACCAGAGGAGTGTGAGGTGTGGAGGTCTTGGTGTCACTATTTTGCCACTTACTGAGAGAAAGAAAAATTGAATGTTCTTAAAGCTACTATTAAATAATGTCTTTTGCAAGAGCAGTTTTACCTTTCCTTATACAATATTTTGCTTCACTTTGTTAGACATTTGTTATCAGTTTGCAGATCACCAAAGCAGGGGCCGATTTGAGGCACCCAAACCTAGAAAAGGTAGAATAAACTACAGTTGTTGTTTTGTCTCTCTATAGAACTGACAAACAAAACACACTGTTAACAAAAGAGAATTACCAATCATTCTATGCCTCAAAACTCTCCATCTCCATTTTGAAGACCTCCTTCCACTCAAAATGGCCTTGTAACTGGGTCATATGAGCCACTGTAGGGTGCATGAGCTGGATGCCCCGTGTGGAATTTAGTAGGCATTTATTAAGGGAGCCCAAGGGTCTTGTAACCACATAATTTTTAGAAAAGTTGAAAGATAATATAACAAAATTAAATAAACATTTAACCAAATATGTGCATAATGCCTTTCCCCAGTCCTCATTTTTGCATATTAATTTTTAAAGGTGCAGTACCTATCTCTCATAATTACAACAATAGTATGTATCTAATTAAACATCCTGTTTTAACTATTTTCCATGTTTGTACATAGTCATCACAATTAATGGCTGTATAATATTCCCACACATTGAATAATTTTAATATATTAAACCATTTACTTAGCTAGAAATTTAGGTTGTTTCTATTGGAGGGTGGAGGAGAAAAGATTTGTTTTAAATTTTGGTTTATTAGGAGAAAGACCCACAAGTAGAATGCTTTATGACTCTTGCTGCATGTACTGTATTTCTAAGAGCCAATTTCCAACCCAACTAGAGAATATGCATACCAGCTATACCACAACCTTACTAGCACTAAATATTATAAACTGTTTGTCTTTTTATTTTAGATATAAAAATGCATCTTACAGTTGCTATTATTTGGTTATTTGCAAGGGATATTCTTCATTTCCTTATTTTTTGTATTTTATATAAAAAATAACTTCTTGGTGTTAAGAAAAATCTAAGGTATCATTTTTCTTAATCATCAAACTACATATAAACAATTATTTCTTTGATCTGTACTTGTTTTTATATCCTAAACTCTTGACTTCTTAGGTTATCTTTCTGTATCTAGTGGTTGCCAGAATACTGGTCTAAGCATGTTATTAAGTTTGTTTTTCCAGTTCTGGGGATTGAACTCAGGGCCTTCACACTGAGCTACATCCCCAGCCCTTTTTGATTTTGAGATAGGATCTTGCTAAATTGCTAAGTTGCCTGGGGTGGAGTCACACTTGTGATAATCCTGCCTCAGTCTCCCAGAGTGCTTGTGCCAGCATCCCCAGCTGAGATTAAGCATTTAACAGAGCTATCAATACACTATTAAATTCTGGACATTTTCTTGTATTTAATAATAATAATTGTAGAAAACCTACCGGGTGCCAGACATTGTATTGATCATATTATGTGAATGGTCTCATCCAGGCTCAGGAAAACCCTGAGATTTCTATTCATTTACTTCCATACAAATTTGATAAGGAAGGTATCACCTGTCTGCAGGTGGAGACACTGATGTTAAGGAAGTTAAGTGACTTGCCTAAATTCGTGTAGCTGAACAATGATTATGCCTAGCTTTAAATCTACAGCTGACTGCTCCTAGCCCAATGCTTTTGCCACAGTTGGGCAACTTGATTCAGAAAGGATCCTCTGATCTGAAATCCTAAAGAGTAATTCCCCTTCAGATCCTTGCCTTTGTGACCTGTATCATGTTCTACCATTGTGGCAGGTTTTCTGCTTTCCACGGAGACTTGTGGGAAACACAAATGCCCCTGAAAGACAGCGGGTGCTCTTGGATTTCCTCCCTTTCCCACAAGACAAGCAACCTGGAAGGTGAGGAGGGCTGTCCCCACATAGGTACTTCTGCTGCAGAGGGGGAGTCCCCAGGATTCAGCTCTTGCAACCCAGATGCCTCACATACCTTTTATGGGTGATGAAAGAATTTTACATATCACCTTTTGTTCATTCATGGGATAACAGATTTTTCAGGGCCTTACTCAATTTAATATACTGCCATGGTCATTTGAGTGAGCCTATAAATTCTCAAAAAGCTTTAAGTAACTTACCTTCAAAATCAGATGTAATGTTAAAAATATTTTGAGCATTGAAAACTATAGGCAACCAAGTATTTAGGGTAGTTTTGTTTTGTTGCTTCTATTTTTTTAGTCTCTTGTCCCAGGTTGACCCAGTGGACTCCCTTTTAAGCAAAATGAGTGTTGGAATACATACAGGGTAACTCAGTAGCAGTTGGTTTGGTAAGATTCCATAGCCCAAGCACACCCAGGTTAGATACTCAAGCTTACTAGAAGGAAAGCCATAGGCAAGTTACTCCAGCTCTCCAAGTCTTCATTTCCTCTTCTGTAAATATGAATAACACTGGTATTTGTCTCTTGGGGAGGTGATGAGAATTAGAGATAATCCTGTGAATTGGCTAGCAATGTACTTAGCACGTAAGAGTTCAAGAAATGCAATCTTTTATTATTAATGTTACCATAAAATTGTATTATAACAAAATGTAAGCAACATTGATCAAGTAGATACCATTGGATCTTTCTTTGGTGATTTAGAAGGTCATTTAGGAGTCCGCAGACTTCTAGGGTATTGTTTGTGGTGCACATCAATTATCGTTAGGTAGGACTGTGGCTGTTGAAGATTCCAAATTTTGATTCAATTGTTCCTATCCTATGATTTTCCCAGATAATTCCTTTAAAAGAATACCCTTGACAGCAGTCTGGTTTCTTAATATCTGAAAATAGAAAACAGTACCACGTATTTGAACCTTCTACATGTTGAATAAAGAGGCTCAATAAAGTAGAGATTATTCTGACCAAAAGATTGAGTCTGTTTGCTTCATTTTCTGGTTCCAGTTGGTGTATTTTCTAATTAGTGTAGCAGCACGTCACCACAATCACTGGAAAGTCTTAATCATTTACATATTTTACCTTATCTCTGACAATGACTTAGAACGTTTTCTTCCAGTTCAATGGTTATTTTCATGAAGCTGCCAAGGTTGAGTTTGAGGTGCTTCTCTGTGCCTGAGGAAGATGACAGGAGAAGGAAAATTGCCTCCCCGAGTTAAATGAAAGCCAGGGTACCCCTTCTGAGGACCTATAATAATCAGCTATACAAGCTGTTGGTTTGTGTGTCCTATTGATTTAATATGCTTCTAATCAGTACATAAAGCTATGGGCCTGCAGTGTTAATTTTTCATATGCTTACAAAGTACCCTTTGATTTTCTGTCACACGTTAATTACAGCGTTTTGCCATTAAATAGGAAGCTTTGTGTAAACTAATTACTAGGTAATCATTGTCTACTGCAAGCGTGCTGTTTGTACCTTTTATTTTATTCTAAAAATGCACAGATCTCACAGTCTGGAAACATTCTACCTTCCAGCCATTAGCTCTCACTAATTCATAGCATTATTGTGGTGAGAGTGGAGGAGTTGTAATTGTTGTGGTATCAGAGCTGTTAATTACCGGAGTAAACAGTTGAAATGGTGCCAAGGTCTATTGTACAAGGCAGAGAAAAGGAGGTTTAAATGTTACTCCCACCATCTGGGGACTGGAGGAGAGGCAAATGCTTGAAAACAGCAGTGAGGCGCTATCGCCGCTCCAGCTCCAGGGTTGGCGGCCATATGGATCCAGAATATTTTGAATCAATTGAATTTAACTGCCAGTTTTTTGCACTAACAGCATGGAAGGAAGGAATAAAGCAAAAGATGAGAGGAACGAGAATTGGTTAGTGTTTTCACATCCAGGAAGTCCCCGTTGGAGTTCTTTCGGAAATGTGTGCTCTGCTGAAAACCGCAGAGCAGGCATGAGTATTTGGAACAGATTCAGAACGAGTTTTTCTCTCCTCTGACAGCGACTGCGCCATTTGCTTCCAGTCGTCTGTCCTCGGTGCCCCTGGGTGAGCCAGGGACGCCCTTGAGAAGGCTCGAACTACGGTGCCAGGTCTGGCAAAAATCCTTGATCAAAAAATCCCCACTTTGGAATTCACCGATTCATTATCCTGGCATGGTCTGTAGAAAGAAAATAATCAATATATAATGCCGCTACATCTGCCTCAAGTACACGCATCTGTGTGTGTGTGGAAATCCAAAGATGGTCCCCCTCCTTGCTGTGATTAAGAAACATACCTGCTCACCCATTCCTTTTCTATAAAATAAAAATATAAAATCTCCCAACAGTTTATTTTTTCATTCCATAAACTCACTCTTCTCCTGCACTACTTGAATGAAAAATCAAGTCCAAAAGGCACATTCTTTTGTTTTTAATTTTCAATTAAAGAGCTTTCTTTAGCACATGCAGTTTTCTCAACCAGAAATATTTCTCTAACTGAAAAGGGAGAAACCTATTATCAGTAATAATAATTATGGCTACTTTAGCTTATAGTTGATTTAAAAACTGCCTGGTTTCTACTTTAAAATATTGTGTAATCTTCAGTCATATATATTTACTTGATGTCACATATATTTCAATATAAATTTCTTGACAACAGTCTTCCAATGTTAAAAATATTTCTACTGCAACTACTTTTGAATACTGTTCCCCAACCATAAGCATATTCTTCTCTTTTTAAACTACTCTGGATTACTGTATTTATTTCTAATTGTTCCTTTAGCAGATGTTGAAGTACTTCGGGTGTAGTGTAAACAACTCCTTTAAAGAAAGAGATCACAGATACACCATGAACCAAGGGCAGTGTTTGTCAGGATTTTAGGATGGCAGTTTTGTCCCTGGGGAAAATATTTTCCTGCCATTGTGTGTGTGCAAAGTTCAATTAAGAATTTCAAGAAGCACTTAATCTTTATCTATTGAAACCCCAGCATGCACCGCAACAGGGTGAGCCTAGAAAGAAAACCACAGCCTCCTGGGGTGAGGGGAAAAAAGAAACAGCAGTGTAAGTGCCAGAAAGTTGAAAGGGAATGAACCTTTCCAGTGTGTGTGGTTGGGGGCAAAGCAGTTGTGCTGAGCTTTGGCATGGAAGCACAACATATGTGCCTCAGTTGGACAAAACGCTTCTCAAGTCCAATCAACTGCGAGGCCTGAATGTTGGTGCAAGGTGAAGGACTAGATAATGAGGGACAGACTCCTCAAGAAGCAGCGAGTGGATAATGCTACATAAGTATGGAATTATATACCGCATTTTCACCATTCTGTTTAATGAGAGCCGCCACCGCAGCGAATCACTTGCCACACAGCTGAAATGGGCCATTAGCTATCAAGGGAAAATTGTCTTTGCCGCTTTCAGCAGATGGAGCAAATATTTTACAAAGCAATTTTACATACCAAAAACATTTGTGTGCCTTGGTAATGTTGGCTGTTTTACATTATGTTACCTTCTACAGCAGCATAATTTTCCATCTCATCGAAGACAAACTTGGCATTTTTGATTTTTAAATTCTCAATTAACAATTAAACATGGAGTATTAAAGCAGTCCTTAAACTTTAAGTAGGTGTGGAAAGTAGTTTATGACTTGCTGGAGCCTTTTTCATTTTTTCTTCATCTTCTCGGCGTATTTTTGCACTCTAAGGAGGGACTATTTCTAATGATTTTAATGGAAAGAAATGAATGAAAACTTCACTACTGATTGCAGAAGGAAACTAACCAGTGTAAAGGGTGATCAGAGTGTTTGCTGCCTTAAAACATTCCTCATGAACCATGGGGAGATGGTTTGGCCACCCATTTTTATCCATTTGAAATGTTTAAGCTTCAAGTAACAGAAAACTCAACTCAAAATGGCTTTAAAGATAAGAAGCCAGGCCTAGTGGTGCAGGCCTGTAGTCCCAGAACTCTGGGAGGCTGAAGCAGGAGGACTGTGAGTTCAAGCCCACCCTGGGCAACTTAGCAACTTAACAAGACCCTGACTCAAAGGAAAAAAAAAAGAAATGCTGTTCAGTGTGAAACCCCTGGGTTAAACACCCAGTGGAAGAAGAAGAAGGAGGAGGAGAAGGAGAAGGAGAAGAAGAAGGAGAAGAAAAGAACCAAATTATTATCTCAGCTATCTGAAAGTTCAAAGATTCTTCTGGCTTCAGACAGGGCTTAATTCAGTAGCTTAGTGATGACACCAAGGAAGGACCCCCTGTCTGTGCAGAACCTCAGCTCCATTCTCAGGCTGGCTGCCCTCAGAGTTGCAAGATATCTGCCAGTCACTCCTGGAGTTTGTTGAAGCAATAGGAAGAGAGAGCATCTCACCTGTAGAAGGCCCCAGTAATGCTTCCTAACATGTCATTGATTGCTGTGCCCTAACCTGAACCAAACGTAGCGGCCAAGGCAAGGCATTGGTAGTCAGGGACTCACTTTGGAGGTGAGGGTGGAATCCCTTTCGATGAATCTTGCATGGTACAGAATGTGGAAAGGGAAGTTCCTGAAAGGAAGTGCCATTAACAGCCAACAACAGATGTCCACTCTTACCACTTTTTCATAAATTTAACTGCAGATTTCACAACACCCGGGATGACTGAATCTCTCCCCAATTGACCATTTTGTGCCCACTGAGATGGGAAAGGCACAGATCCCACTGCACCAAGGCGCACTGGTATCACCTGGATTTGAATCCCAGTTTTGCTACTTCCTGGCTGTATGACAGGAAATAGGGATGAAAATATTTACATTAGACAGTGGTTGTAAAATAATAAATGTAGGACACCTGCCACATAAACTTTCAAAAAGTGAAAGTTTTTTTTTTTTTTACCTGAAAATGACTGCCATGGGAAAATGTAGCTGGTCACAGCAAACCAGCCTGCTAAATCCACCTTCAGATTTGGAATCCCTCCCTTCTCGCCATTTCTGTACCCCTGGCTGGTTGAGAGCTCTGGCACCTTCCATGGTGTCCCGCACTTTACTCCCTGAAAGAGCTGGGGTTGTGAAGAGCACTTGCCCAGGGGTCAGAGCAGCCCGAGAGTCCCTGCAGATTTGCAGTGTGATTTAAAAGCCCCTTCCTTCTTCTGTTACATGAGGCGTTTGTCCTAGATGGTCCCTATGGCCACTTTCCAGGCCAACAGTGCTGCTGTGTTTTTCAGGTCACTGTCTTGCCCTTTTGACTCCATGCCACTCTCCATTTCTTTGTTTAGGATTATCAGAAGTGTCTATGAAGCAGAACCACCTGGGAAGGTCCTTTGGTTTTGCTGTGATACTTGATCTCAGCTAAAAGACTGAGAAGTGATCCCTTGGTTTTCTTTTGAACACCATTAAAAGATGTCTGATGTGGGAGATTAGAGGTCAATGGGTTATTTTACTTAATATATCACTGACAATTCAGCAAAAAGCTGCTAAAATAAGAGTCTTGGTGAGACTGATCTTGAGAGTATTCTAATTTGTAGTCCTCCTCCTTCCTTTCCCATTCTCTCCAACACACACACACACACACACACACACACACACACACACACACACACGCAGATTTGGAATTTGTTTGGTTGGGAAAGCTAACTCTGTAGTAGCTTTAGTATTAATCTGAATACCTTAGTCTCTTCCCCTGAGATATCCTGAATTCCTGTCTGTCAAATATCTCTTTCTGCCCACTGTAGTGATGCACACCTATAATCCCAGCACTGGGAAGCTGAGGCAGGAGGATCAACAAGTGCAAACCCCACCTGGGCAACTCAGCAATTTAGCAAGACCATGTCTCAAGATTTTTATAAAAAATTTGAAAGGGCTAGGAATGTAGTTCAATGCAAAGGCTCTCGGTTCAATCCCCAGTACTGAACAAAAAAAAGAAAAAAAATCCTTTTCCTCAAAATTACAGTTTCTTGAAAGAAAAAAAGAGAGACAAGGCCCATGCTTGATACACAAGCAGCTCTAGGATGCATGGAGATCATTAGCGCAGGCTAATGGAGATCCTATACCTTCTGCAGATATCTTGGAACCCAGGGCCTTCACACTGAGCTACAGGGCTCATGTAGCTTTTTTTTTTTTATTTTGAGACAAGGTCTCACTAAGTTGCACAGGGTGGGGCTGGAACTTGCAATCCTCTTGCCTCAGCCTCCCGAGTGCTGGGATAACAGATGTGCACCATCAAACATAACTGGTACATTTAAAAAACACATATGACCTGATCCCAGATCAGACTGTACTGAAACCATTCAGACCACCCTACATGGGGTTAGCCTGGCCAGAGCAAGCTCAGACCAGCCATAATGGGATCAGACTACCCAGAATAATCCCAGACCAGCTGAAACTGGCTCAGACTGTCCCTTACTGGATCAGGCTGATTGAAATCAGATCACACCAGCAGGAACCAGAGAACACTGGCTAGAACCAGATCAGACTGCCTCAAACCCGGTCAGATTGGGCAGAACTGCATCAGATCATCCCAAATCAGATCCAACAGCCAAAACCAGATAAGACCAACCAGAAAAGGAAGGAACCAGCACAGACCAGCCAGAACCACTTCAAACCAACCAGAACCAGATCAGAACAGCTGAAACTGGATACAACTGGCTCAGACTGACTGGAACCAGGTAGAACTGCCTCAGAGCAGCCAGAACCAGATCAGAGCAGCCACCAGTTTAGACCAGCAAAATCTGCACCTTCTTTTCCACATCACAGGAACAGTCTTACTTGGCAATCAGGAAACATCAGTCGTGGATGACAACGGTACTAGCAGTGACTGGGCAGAACTCACATCCTGGGCTATGCCAGCTCTTCAGGGTTTTCACTGTTTGTATGACCCATTTCCCCTTGTTTACAGTTAGGGAGGGCTGGGGCAGTGAGTTCTGTCAGTAATAAAACCACTGCTGATGGGTATCCCCTATGTCCCTACAGGTTAAGCGGTTACAGTTTGATACATGCTGTCAGTTCATGTGCAAAAAAGGTTGTCAACTGGGACTCAACCCAAAGCTGTACACAGTTGTACACAGTTGTTCACAGAGGGACTGTTCCCACATCCCCACCAGCCAGCAGCAACTCAACACTCAGCTGTCCCACAGTGGATGAATGGACAAACACAACATGGTCCATCCATGCAATGGAATATTACTCAGCCATGAAAATGAAGGAAGGACTGACACATGCTGTACTGTGGAAACATGATGCTAAGTGATAGAACCCAGACACTAATGGTCACATCTTATATGACTCCATTGATGTGAAATATCCATAACAGGGAATTCTAGAGACAGGAAGCAGATTGGTGGCTGCCAGGGGCTGGGGAAGGGAAAAGACATAGTTCATGGGGATGGGGTTTCCTTTTGGGGTGGTGGAATATTACAGAACTGGCACAGGTGGTGATTGTATAATACCACAAATGTACAGGTTGGGTATCCCTTATCTGAAGTGCTTAGGACAAGCACTGTTTTAGATTTGGAGCTTTATTCAGCTTTTGGAATTTTGCATATACCTGAGATATCTTGGGGGTGAGACCCAGTGCAAACACAGAATTCACTTATGTTTGCTGTTCACATTGTACGCATAGCCTAAGAAAGACCTTGCCAACTCCATTACTTCTCTTAGGTCAGCCCACTTAGGGTCACAGAATAGAAATGTTCCAGTCTGGAGATTCTTAGGAATAAACTAGTTAGCTCCACTTTTTTTTTTTTTAGGTACTGGAGATCGAACTTGGGTCCTTTCGCTTGTGCAGCAGGAGGCAAAACCACTGAGCTAAATCCCCGGTCCTTAGCTCCACTTTTCATATAATAGGGAACCGAGGAACAGAGTGGGAAAGAACAGTGTGCAAACATACTGTGCTGGTCGGGCTTCAGTGGGCCTGAAATCTGGGTTTCCTGACAGTCAGGCAGAGGGTGCCTTTTGGAGACAACAGGCACAATTCACAGCAATTTTTAGGGGACCAAATCACTTTGAAATATGAAAGCTTAAATGGCTGGGAAACCAGAGAAAATTTTCAAAATGACTTTCTGACTCTGGGTAAACAGTAACCACATTTTTTTTGTCTGTTGGAGGCCTGGTTTTTAATCACTCCACAAGCAGTTTTCATTTCTGTAGTAAAATTGCTTGTGGTTCTATTTAATTTGTTTCTGCAGGAGCCAGCTTTGGTGAAGATCTCCGAGGAGCTGGCGGGCATTTTAGCACAGCACGCACAGCCAGTCAATGAGAAACGGTTCCCAACGTGGAGGAAATTCCTCCAAACATTTCTCAGTCAAGGTAAATAAGACTGTAAAGTTTCTATCGAGGATCAGTCTGCACAACCTTGGATTCTAGTTTTGGCTCAACCCAAGGCTGATTTAAATATTTTCCATCACCCGTGTTGGTTTAGAAAAGTGCTCCTACAGCTGCCTTTTTTTCTTTTCTAAATTTTGCCTAAATATTTGTCTTGCATTCAGCCCCTGAGTAAATAGGAACCAACATTCCAAGCGTGGCATGCATATCTCAAGATTCCAGGCCGGTTTTGCCCCTGACTCCTCCTGAGAGGTGGATCTGGGCCTCATCCATGACCTTGAGCAAGGTTCTTAAATTCTCAGAGGGCCAATTTCCTTACCTACCACACATGGTTGTTGGGGGCAGTCAGTGAAATAGAGATATGAAGGTTTCTACCACAGAGTCTGACACATAAAAAGGTCTTTAATAGTTGTTAGTTTCACTTTTCATATTCTAGAAGAGCAGAAATGGCCTTACTTCCAGTCAAGAAAGATAATCATTTCCAAGTAAGACTCCAGTCTACAGTCTAGGTATAGAGCCAGCTGCCATTCCTTTCATCCTCCTCTTCTTCCCCCATCCTCACTTTATGATGACTTTGGAAGGTTCAGGACTGAGGGAATGAACAGAACAAATGATGCTTATCCCCAGTCCACGTCAGGGCACACCCACACGAGGGCCTTCCCTCCCCAGCAGAGTAAGGCACATATGGGTACCTGTATGAATCATGAGCACGGGTTAGTATAACAAACCAGAAAAGGTGTCTTTTCCACTCTACTTACTGCCATCAAGTGATGATAATAATAGTACATTAGCACTAATACATAATGATAAAATAATAACATTATGTCAAATGATAGCACCAGCAACAGCACGATAATGATAATAGTACAGTGATGAAAACACAGTGAGCACCCACTGAGCTTATTATGTGCCAGGCATTGTCTTAAGTATACATATATTGATTTATTTAATCCTTCCAACAATTCTATGAGGTCAGTACTATTATGTTTTAGTCACTTTTCTCATCGCTGAAACACAATACTCAACACTTGCAACTTAACAGAGGAGGATTCATTTTGACTCTCGCTTTCAGAGGTCTCAGTCCCTGCACAGTGGGCTGGCTTCAAGGGATAAACAGCACGGTGGAGGAGCCTGGCCGAGGAGAGCTGCTCACTACATGGCAGCCAGGGAGCAGAGAGAAAAGGGAGGAGCCAAGGAAGGAGCTATACTCCTCCAGGGCTGCCCCCAGTGACCCACTCTAACAAGAACAATGGAAAAGGGATTGAGGGTGAGGACTTGTGCTACATTACCCCAATATCTTCTCATCTCTAAAAGCATGTGATTCTACAAATTTCTGTACATATCCACAGATAGAAGAGCAAAAGTAAGAAATTCAACCTCATGCATAAATGGAAAGAAATAAGATACCTTCCCCAAAAAAGGTCAGGAATAAGGGATTTGTGTATATGTGGTACTGGGGATTGAACCCAGGGGCTTTGCACTGAGCTATATTCCCAGCCCTCCTTTTAATTTTTCATTTTAAGACTGGGTCTTGCTAAGTTGTTAAGTTGCCCAGTCTGGGCTCAAACTTAAATCCTCCTGTCTCAGCCTCCCAGAGTGCCACCATACCCAATAAGAATAAGGGGCTTTTTCTTAAGTTAGAAGAGAAACCCATGAAGATCTGTAGGTCCATCCAAGATAAGGTGTTAGGAATTTTCCAGATCTTCTAAGGTCAGCTTGGGAAGCCTTCCTCTAAATCACTTCTCCTGTGAGTTACCAGACACTATCTCACCTGAGCTATGTAACCACAAGCTGAGGCGGCTTTCTTCTTTATCTTTTTTCCTCACCATGTTGTAAATGCTGTGTTTATTGATGAAAAACAGAACAGGCTTTGTTAGCACAATTTTAAAGGTGAAGAAACCGAGGTTCAGAGAAATAAGAAGTGACTTGGGCTAAATCACACAACAGATAGGTGATGAATTACACAAAGTTAGATCCAACAATGTTAGTCTGTCTTAAAATCCAGAGCTTGTAAATAGTATACTTTCTTGCTGAGCTGGGGCACCTCTCACATGTCCTGACTTTGAACTTACCAGCCCCACCAGCTTCCACTGTTACCTATTCATTCCATACCTGTTCTCTCAAGTGCACTTACGGCCACAAAATGTACCACAGATTTTATTTCTCCATTGCCGTAGAATTATATCAAAGGCAATACATTTTTAAGGGGAATTAATTGCTTTGAAAGAAAAAAAATTAACAGTGAAAAAGGTTATGGTCATGATGCTGAGAAGACAGTACAAATAAGCTTCTTGGAAATAAAACACCTAAAGTCATCTGGTCAATAAAAAGGATAACAGGGCCAGGGATTTTACCTCAGTGGTTCTACCACCTGCAAGTGCAAGGACCCAAGTTTGATCCCTAGTACCAAAAAACAAACAAAACAAAACAAACAAACAAAAAGGATAACAGGTTCCCACTGAAGCATAATCTTCCAAAACATAGGTGACCAATTTAACTGAATCAGAGAGACTCACAAGGCTTTTTTGTTTTGTAGATTTTCTTGCATTTACCTCGCTAAGCCCCAACAACTGGTATTCAAGCACATAATACACTATTAGGTCTCATTTGAAGAAAAGAACTTTTTGAACTAACCAGATAGATAAGTTAGAGATGGAAAGGATGCCTTCTAGAAAAGTTTTCTGACTAAAACTTGACATTCATTAGGGCTACGTCTGACCAAATTTATAGACATTTAAGAAAAGTGCCTTTTGTTTGAAGTAGCAGATGACTGCCTTTGATAACTGCTATAATCTCAGAACTTAACCATATATGCTATTCTAAGCCTGTGGCTTGTCCCTAGAGGTCATCACCTGTCCCCAGAAAACTGGTGAAATACAGGGCAAGTTCCAGAGGCCACCCTGTCTAGGAAGGACCTAGTTGTTTTTACTTTTAAGTTAGGTTCTCTAACTCTTTACATATAATATTTTAAACTTTTTTTTCTTCATAAAGTGTATATATACAGTAATATTTACAAGTTAGGCCTAAAAACAGAAAAATCAGGGCCATGTAATTTTTGTGGCCACCCCTGATCTAGCCCCCAAATAAGCCAGCAAAATATTTTTTATGATTCGGAACAAAAGGTAAAATATGATAAATTATAAAGCTTTCATCAGTAAGGAGGTAGTACCCCATTCCTCAAAAACTGCACCATCTCCTGGCTCTATACATTAAAAAATGTTTTGCAATTGGCTTTACACAGGAATCCTTGAGCTGGCATAATAGTCAATGTTCTCTATGCCTGTTAAAGGCCCAAACCTGTCAAATGTGAGAAAAGCAATGAAGTTGAACAGACGGAGTTCACTGGTCTTCAAAATACAAACAATGGACTATGTCCAGTTCATTCCCTATAGGGATTCTACCATAATCCTTAGGTCCATTATTCCTTAATGAGAGCATATAGACACGGTATCTACAGTGTCTTCATCATTATGATCAGAATCAAAACTACCATTCATTGAGCCCTACTATATGCCAAGCATTGGGCTAAATAGACAGTTTCTCTAAGCTTCACAAAAACCTGGAGAGGTAGGTTTTATGATGTCCATTTTACAGGTGAATAAAAAGAGGTTCAGAGACTGAAAGCACTTGCTCAAAGTCTCCCAAGATCTGCCAGGTGCAGGATCTGAGCCCAAGTGCATCTGCCAAAAGCCTAGGCCATTTCCTCCTGCTCTAAGTGGGTGCAGTTCCTATGAATGTGTTCTTCCATCCATTTCATGCTTTTCCCACCAGGGGGTGTGATCGAAGCATTCCCACCTGCAGACAGTGTCACCAAGCTGACAGTAGACATGCTGATTGAGGCCAGTGGAGAGATCAAGGTGCTGTCCACAGGGGACCAGTTTCATCCCGAAGGTCCCTTCATTTCTTCTGGTACCACTGTGCCTCAGACCTCAGTGAATCCCCAAGTTCTCAGTTCTTTGTGCCTCTGAATTGGAAAGGCCTGCCAAGTGAGAGATGTGGTTGGTTATTTTTCTATAGATCTGGTGACTTTTATTGATCCGAGGACCTTGGAACAGCAGGTAAGTTGAATGGATGCCAGAGAAAATATTAAAATATGTAATGATTCCCTATCCTCTGCATCCATGCAGGGGACAATATGAGGGAAATTCTAGAACTCTCTGTGCTCTGATGAGCTAGCTCTGTAAGTCTACATCTACCAGTCCATGCCAACATGTGTGAGACCAGGCTTTACGTCCAAAAATACAGAGCCTAGGTCATCTCATTCGGATGCAGTTGGAGTGTAAATGACTGAAATTCATCCCATATAGCTCATTGACTGGCCCTTCGTGCTAGGACTGCCTCTTACCATGAAACTGTTTTACACATCTAGGACTGAACATATCTAAAACCTGTTCATAAACAGAAAATCGATCGCTAGAGAGGAGTTTAGAGTGCTTGTTTCTGTTTCTTATCAGTAGCATATCAGCAACTTAGGTTATCAATTTTTCTTTTGAAAAAGTGTATTAGGAAACATTTCAGAACTATAAAAAGATCTAAATAATTAGGTGCCCCCATCCTGCTGAAGAACTAAAATGGCACTGACACCATGAGCAGCCCTGTGTTCTCCTTACTGAAAGCCCAGCCCTTCCTCCTCCCCGAGGACAGGCGAGTGCATCTGTATCTATTTGGGGGTTTGATTCCTTTCCATATCATCCTACTTTTCTGGCAATGGACATAACCAGAAATAATATTTGGCTTCATTTTTGCATGTTTTAAGCATTTTAGAGATTGTAACATCCACATATTATTATTCTACAGTGTGCTTTTACTTATCAAGTTTACATTTGTGACATTCTTCTTATAGCTCTGATGTATAATATTCTGCATAAATAACTTTAACCAGTTTTGCTTTCCTTTCCCCACCAAAACTATAATTATGACGTTCACAACTATTTAATGGAACTCATTTGCTCCTCTTTTCATATTGGGTGTCCAGACCTCTGTCTGAAGGATGAAATGGACTTCTAGCCTCCCTCTCTCCATATCCTCTGGCCATTGGGCAGTGTTTTATATTCATTATTCTCAGTCTTATTGTTCTCCATTTCATCAGATGATAGTTTTAAAGCAAGAGTTTATGTTTTCAGCTTGGTCAATAACCATTTTCCAGTTGCCTTCCCAGACCCTCTGTTGGTCTCACATTCTGTTCTCCAACCCACAGGCTGAAAGAGAAAAGGACAGACTGAGGGGTGTTCAGAAATCTACCTGGGGTGGAGGAGGACAGAAGTGTGGGCCCTGGAGAATGAACCCAGTGGCAGGAAAGGAGGAGGAGGAGAGGCAGGGGAGGCTGCCTCCCCACACAGATGTCACGAGGAAGAGGGATGAATTCCATGGGTCCTGGACTTGTGGTTCTTACTTATTTGAGTTTGTTATAGGAAGACGTGCACACAGCAGTGACAGAGATCTTTACATGGCTCTGGTTTTTCCCAGGGCCTATCACCTGCCTGGGCTTCTGGGAAAAACGGCCCACTCTACCCTTGGCAGGTCCCATGTACCTGGTCAGTTTTGTCTCACCCTAACTCCCCCTTTTTTTCTCTCTCTTGTCCACTTACACGGCCTCAGTCTCAGTCATCACACTACCTCTGCCACAGGGCCTTTACACATGCCACCCCTCTGGATGGAAAGCTCTTGCCTCTTCTTTTGACCTTACCCCACTTCCTTACCATATTTCAACTCAGGCCTCACTTGTTTAGGGAAGCCTTTCCTGATTTCCTTAACAAAGTCAAATTCTGCTGTTTTAAGTTCTCATATTATCATGTACTTCTTTCCTAGCTCTCATCTCAGTTGCAGGTTTAAACTTGTTTACATGATTATCTGGTTAATACTGTCTCCTATAGTCTGTGAGCTCCCTAAAGGATGTACTATGTCTCTTTTTGCTCCTCATCATATGAGTAGCATTTATCTTTGCCCTGGCACAAAGTAAGTGTTCAGTAAATATTTGATGAATGAATGAGTGAACAACAGAGGTACCCTAGCTGGTATAGGGCAGCGTTGCTAAGATGTTTGGAGAAACAGCACAGACATTGGCTGAATGAATGAAATGAATAAATATTAACCCAAGATTCTCTGACTTTATACTTGAAGTTCTCCTTGTCCCTTCCCATTAATACTTGTACATATGGCAATTTGAGTTACAGCTAATAGAACATTGGAGGAAGTTCCCAGTGACCATGCTAGGTGACCATGTCCCATTAGCAAGGGTAGTAGTTTGTTCTCTGTATTGAATAGGATGTTTGCAAATCACAGGCATAGTCGCTAGTCACTTTGTAAGTGATACCGCCTCAGAAAGCACCTTGACTTATTTTCTAACTGGCATGCCTTGTGATGCCAGTGAAGAGACTGGCATATTACCAACCTCCCATTTTTGCCTGTTTAACAGATCTTTTTAAAAATGTTACCTGATTTTACTCAGTATTTCTTTCTTACTTACGATGTACAGCTTTTCATGTCTGTTGGTCTAGTTACCTCTTTTCTTAATTGCCTCATGTCTTTTGCCCCTTTTAAATTTGACTATAATGTGAACATTGATCTTAAAAGCTCTTTGTATCTGAAGAACTCATTCTGTAGAAGCTCTTTGTGTACAGTTTTAAGCTAGGAAATTTGTGGCAATTTGTTACAACAGCATCAGGAAACAGAGAAGGGATTGCTATTTTGTTCTTTGTGCTTTCTGCATTTTCTTTTTTTTTATTATTTAATTTTTAAATTTTGTTCATGTATTTATTTCTGGTTCTGGGATTGAACCTGGGGCTCACATATGCTAAGCATGCACTCTACCACTGAGCTATACCCTTAGCCCTGACATTTGCAATTTCAGAACTAAGCATGTATTATATTTTGAAATAGACAAAAATATGAATATAATCATACATTTGTATTGAATATTACAGTTTACAAAGTATTTTCATATGTATGACCTTATTCACTTACAAAAGTCATCCAGTAGACATGAGAGGCAGAAAACTGAGGCAACCTTGGCATTTAAATTCTTGCATACTGGCCCCGGCTGGGATCCGTAATTCACCAGGCTGGCACAGCAGAAGGCAAGGGGACCAGGAGCCAAGGAAGAGTAGATAAACGAGAGTGGTGCACTGAGGACAGGCACACTGTGAGTCAGCGCCAGACAGGACTGTGGAAAATTCCATCTAGACCCACAGAGGTGGGAACAAGCTTTCAGGCAGCAGAACAGAAGTCTGGGAAGTGTAGGGTTTGAGTATTGGGAGCCTCAGGTAGAACACAGGGTCATTTAGAAATAAAAGGAAAGGGAGCTGTTAAGGCATGGTACAAAATGGCTTCCAACAGTGGCTGTGGGACCAAGATTCCAGGATCCTACAAGTGGGGACATTCCAGGCAGGATACATGGCACTCTGGAAGGTAGTCATGGTGCAGATCTGGCCTTCTGTTCTGAGGGTGAGGGGTGGGGCTCTGCCTCCGGATCTGGTGAAGGGATCCAACACTTAAACAAACAGCAGCAAAAGCTGTTTCCAAACCCTAAGAGTTCTGGATGGGCAGTATCTAGTGGGTTCCATGGGGGGCTGGAAGTACCTACCAAAGGCTTCGGTTTGAGGAGGGACTGACATGCTCCTTATTAAACAAGGAGGGCCTACACTGTCCCTCCAGGTGCTGAGGGAATAAACGAGGCATGCTCTGTCATGACATGTACCCTGTCAACTGCTTCACAACCATCATCCAATGTCACTTTATATACATGCACACAGTTGTTTTCTACTCCTACAGGGCTCACAGGCATAAATATTGCCTCCCGACATTTTCAAATACTCTAGAAAATACACTCAGCCTTGCATTTTTTACTTCTTTGAGATATTTAACACAATGATGGTCCCATTAGGCCAGCCATCTGATTTTTATTTGTTGACTGATGGACTTTTGGAACTTGTAGATGATCCAGATCTCTTGAGCTTATTTATTCACTTTTGGGAAACTGTCAATAAAACAAGTATTTATTGAGCACCTCTTATGTACAAGCTATTATGCCAGTGCTAGAAAAAAAAGATGCTAGAGATGTGGAAGTATCTGCCCTTAGGAAGTTCACAATTTACCTGGGGAGACAAGCTTAAAAAAAGGAATTACTACTTCTGCATAAAATATGACAACTGCATAAAATGTTAAAAGAGACATCAAAAAGGTAATGTCAGTTTAGCTACCAAATGGTATGCCACATGAATTTGGACAAGAGAAATACCACTTTTGTTTGGAACAATCAAAAAGGTTTTTTATAGAATAGGTGAGATGTGAGCTGAAAGATGAGGATTTGAAAGAGGATAAGAAAGAGATGTATTCTGGGCTGGGGATTTAGCTCAATGGTTTTGCCACCTGCTGCACAAGCACAAGGACCTGAGTTCGATTCCCCGTACCAAAAAAAAGAAAGAGATGAATTCTAAGTAGGAAAGAGGTTGTAAAGGGTGGTGATAAAAAAAATACATATATTTGGCTAAAAATGATGATCTGCATCTTACAGACATCATATCTGATTTGTCCCATGTAAATATGAATTTATATAACAATTCTTTTTCTTCAAATAAAATTCTCTAAACAGGTTAGCCAAGATGCTTTCTGTTGAAATTCCCAGAGGAAAAACTTCTTTGTTTTTAGATAATTATGAACATCTACTTTATGAACATTGATTGTTACTAATTCTAAAAGGGAATGCGGATCCGATCTTTAAGAAAAAAGTTTAGAGGAAAAATGGCTGTAGGTGCCTAGTAATGGCCCTAAATATGTAAGGAAGCCACAAAAGGTTGTCACCAAGTACAGATTATAAGGAAGACAAAAATGGAGTCACTGATGATATGTATCAAAGTCTATTCCACATGTTATGGTTTAGATCTAAAGCCTCATGTGTTTGGAAGGTAATCAGATTATGGGGGCATCATAGCTGACTTGCTGTTAGCAGGTGGGGCCTGGTCAGAAGAGGCAGTCACTGGGGGCATGGCCTGGAAGGGTTTATCTCCTTGCCTGGCTCCTCCCTTCTCTCACTGCTTCCTGTCAGCCATGCTGCGAGCAG